ACTGTTTTAATATACATTTTATTTCGTCAGAGGTATAAGCTGTGTTGTATCAAAAGCATGTCACACAGTGGAGAGAAAGTATTTTACAGCCACAAGGTCCGTCCCGAAAGGGAGGTTATAAGCTGAGATTGTATTCTGCTTTTAAAACATGTTTTACTCCAGCATTTTATGTCTGTCATAGCATCCTACGAGCACATAGAAGTGCATTAGCAAAATTTACATGTGGCACAGCACCAATCAATATTGAACTGGGCCGATATAACAATATTCTTCTACAAGAGAGAAGATGTTTTAATTGTGTGAATGTAATTGAGCACGAATGCGACATTTTACTTGATTGTCTAGTGTACAGTGTCGAGCGAAAGAATCTTATTGATAATTGTCTTAGAATTTGTCCGGATTTTATGAATATAAACAATACTCGGAAAACTGCTTTTATCTTATCAAATCCTATCTGATCTCTCCCTCCCTCCCTCTCTCGCAGGAATCGGATTATCGGGGTCCGGACTAACGCGGCCTGACTGTATAGAAAATATTGAAGGTTCAATATGCTCTGGTGATGTGCTTCATGCAGGGGGGTGTTACAGACGGGATGTATGAATTCTCATAGATCTTAAGGAATTATGTCATAAACGTTCCCTCTGGATTATGGTTGCCTTTTATCTGTCAACTAAGTCATAGTTATACCTAGTGGTATTCCTATGGGTGTCTTCCCATTCTGCCACAGTCCCATTTTGCCTACACGTTAAAGCAACATGATACGGTCCAGTCATCAGGAAGTAAGGCTAATGTGCTGACCTATTGGTGTCCTGCCAAAACTTCTACATTTAGTATCAAGCCGCATCATATGCATGATAAAAAATTTAAAAGTGGAATAACAAGAATGACATATAAAATGGTATCAATATGAGTTGTAAAATTCGATTTTCAACGTGTATGTGCAATGAGAGAACTGCCACTTTCTGGAAGTAAAAATTATACATCTAATAAGATTGTTAGCCATCATACTCGTTAAACAAGTGGTAACAGTCTTATCGCATGGATTTTCATTTAGATTATTTGTTATTCAACACTGCCCTGAGTGTTTATTACAATGCATGTTAAACAAGTGGTAACTGTCTTATGGCATGGAAACTCATTGAGATTATTTGTTATTCAACACTGCCCTAAACAATGTTCCAACTTCCTGATGACAGCCATGCCAATACCAGACAATCTGATGATCGATATCAAGAACATCAGTCCATGCAGTTGGGATGTGATGACATGCAATCAACCAAGCCTTAAGCAGAGCACAGGCAAACTGTCACAAGCTGTGGCGCAAATAGGGTTGTGCAACAAAGTGAAAATGACCAGTCTTCCAACATGCAAGCGAAGCGAGCAAAGGTTGGCAACATACTTCCCTCGCTTCGGTTTGAAAAATATTTTTAATATCAAAATAAAAAATATCGTCACCATCAAAGGTAGACGGGGTCCATTTCCCCACAGGGTGGTGCTCTCAGATTTCTAACCTCATATTTAATAATTACTCACGTAAAACATATTTAATTCAACATTTTAAGCGCCACTCGTGCCATATCAAATCGTTCTTCGCCTCCATTACCCCTGCCAGCTTCCGGTTCAACGGAGTGAAGGAACAGGGGAGTTAAATCTAAATATACTTGTTGAATCACTTGTCTGCCATATGGAATACATGCAGGGTTACTTCCCTTGCTTCATTTACTCGCTACACCGGAAGTGTCTCTCTCTCTAGAATAAATGTTACGAAAATTCTAACAATAATGACAGCAGATAAGAAAAATAATCTACAACAGTTTAATGGTATAATTAGGCAATATGATATTTCTTTATATTTTCTGCTTACTCTTGTTCCTTCACTGATTATACTAATACTAATTTTTGTATCAGTTTTTGGCCAAAATACTAGTTCGGCTAAGTTAATGTTGGCATCTCTGCCCAAGGGCTGACCATGAGATCCATTTTACCTGGAATCCTGTGTGACATCTACAACATCTGTAGGTTGCTGGGGATCAGTGTTCTTACCTGGAATCCTGTGTGACATCTACAACATCTGTAGGGTACTGGGGATCAGTGTTCTTACCTGGAATCCTGTGTGACATCTACAACATCTGTAGGGTACTGGGGATCAGTGTTCTTACCTGGAATCCTGTGTGACATATACAACATCTGTAGGTTGCTGGGGATCAGTGTTCTTACCTGGAATCCTGTGTGACATCTACAAAATCTGTAGGTTGCTGGGGATCAGTGTTCCTACCTGGGATCCTGTGTGACATCTACAACATCTGTAGGTTGCTGGGGATCAGTGTTCCTACCTGGGATCCTGTGTGACATCTACAACATCTGTAGGTTGCTGGGGATCAGTGTTCCTACCTGGGATCCTGTGTGACATCTACAACATCTGTAGGTTGCTGGGGATCAGTGTTCTTACCTGGAATCCTGTGTGACATCTACAACATCTGTAGGTTGCTGGGGATCAGTGTTCCTACCTGGGATCCTGTGTGACATATACAACATCTGTAGGTTGCTGGGGATCAGTGTTCTTACCTGGTTCCTACCTGGGATCCTGTGTGACATCTACAACATCTGTAGGTTGCTGGGGATCAGTGTTCTACCTGGAATCCTGTGTGACATCTACAACATCTGTAGGTTGCTGGGATCAGTGTTCCTACCTGGGATCCTGTGTGACATATACAACATCTGTAGGTTGCTGGGGATCAGTGTTCCTACCTGGAATCCTGTGTGACATCTACAACATCTGTAGGTTGCTGGGGATCAGTGTTCTTACCTGGGATCCTGTGTGACATCTACAACATCTGTAGGTTGCTGGGGATCAGTGTTCTTACCTGGAATCCTGTGTGACATCTACAACATCTGTAGGTTGCTGGGGATCAGTGTTCTTACCTGGAATCCTGTGTGACATCTACAACATCTGTAGGTTGCTGGGGATCAGTGTTCCTACCTGGGATCCTGTGTGACATCTACAACATCTGTAGGGTACTGGGGATCAGTGTTCTTACCTGGAATCCTGTGTGACATCTACAACATCTGTAGGTTGCTGGGGATCAGTGTTCTTACCTGGAATCCTGTGTGACATCTACAACATCTGTAGGGTGCTGGGGATCAGTGTTCCTACCTGGGATCCTGTGTGAAATCTACAACATCTGTAGGGTACTGGGGATCAGTGTTCTTACCTGGAATCCTGTGTGACATCTACAACATCTGTAGGTTGCTGGGGATCAGTGTTCTTACCTGGAATCCTGTGTGACATCTACAACATCTGTAGGGTGCTGGGGATCAGTGTTCCTACCTGGGATCCTGTGTGACATCTACAACATCTGTAGGGTACTGGGGATCAGTGTTCTTACCTGGAATCTCATGTGTTTCCTATTGCAATATATATTGTAGTATGTGCTGATTCTAACATATGTTATGTTTAGGATTCTCTGTTAGGTACAGATTCTAGTACTTTTATAGGTTGAGTCCCAACCAAGATTCCAACCCACATTCGCACAGCACACAAAGTCAGCCCGCCACGGTTTCCCCCTAATAATAATAACCCACATCGGCCCTACTGGGCGTTCAGTGGGATGCGTAATAGGATATCCAGAAAAGCATGTTTACTCGTAAAATTGGGCAAAAATACGAACAGCTGCTATAAACAATAGATCAGACTATAGATGGCAATTAGGTCGCTCAGCCAGGTATGACGACGGACCATCAACTCACTTGGCATGAAATGCACTTGCTGCCTACAGACACAAGGGGTCATCTCAAATATCTTTTATGCTTTTTCATGTGTATTGAATGTGTCTCTACTGATTATCTAATCTTAGCTAATATCTCTATCCCCAAGCCCGACACCAACTTCAGTCAGCAACACCTGTCTTGATTTTGTTCTTGAGATGACCCCTCTTACCTGTTTCTTCTAATAGTGACTCAATGGTATCTACGTCCTTAATAGTTTCAGTATTAAAGTTGTTATTTTTTACATCTGCTTCTCTTTTATTATGAAGCTAAGTCTAATTTCAAAATGGACATTCAAAAAGTGTCATTTGTTATACAATATCATCGCACACTAATTTACATAAAGCCATGGTCTGCTCCAAATAAGTCTCTTCAGACTGAAAAATACTGCATTGCTCATTTCTGCACTAATATCTCCTCAGTAAAACCCTTTTTTAACGTTTCCTATCTCCCTGCCAGTGAGACTGTAGTCAGGCCGAACTTAGATTAACAGATATTTCACACTTTCACATATTATCTACCTAAATTGTAGATACAAATGTGAAAAAAACCATTTTTTTTCTATTTCCGACAGTACTTTAGAATCTGTACTTTATCGAGAAAGTGTAATCTAAAATATAGCATGTTACATTTGACTACTTTCTAAAAACGGCATTGTGAATTCATTCCTAGCTGATTTTAGCTGTGTGGTATATCTATATCAGATTCCTGTTCAGTGATACCTTCCATGCTCTGATCTTCCACAGTTATTATGATTTAAATAAGTGAAGTGACACCATATAGTCCTTGTAACAAACATATCTGTCATATTGTTTCTCCCAACAACATGGTGTCATAAACATGTAGAAATATGAAAATAACATCTTTCTCAACCAGGAGAAAACGTTTTGCAACCAACATATATGTTATGAGTACAGTTGTTGTTTTGAAATTACAAGTGACTGATCCAAGGACGCTGATGATGGCTTCCTTGAAGGGAAGGTTTTCTGTCTCAGCAACATAATGAGCTGGCTGGTTCTGTTTTTATCTGCAGTAGTCTGCGGGGTCTTTTTATTGATAGGAGGACCAGAGATATGTATTTGTTGATCAGTCTAACCCTCAGCATGTCAAGCGTTGGCCTGTTCTTTGTTGCTATGAGCCCAGGTAGGCCTCGGAGGCAGTAATCAGTGTTCAAAGGGTTAAGTATTTGGCAACTTATCACCAGGGTCATTGTGACCTGGAGGCAGGTTCAAGGATTGATGTATTTATAGTGTGATGACAACGAAGGCAGGAAGTGTTTGTCACATGTACTCGGCATCTCTAGAATGAGTAATATGCTGCCCTGGGATGTGACAGTGAGCTGTAAGAAGTGCTGATCTTCAATGGGTGGAGTCAGGCATTCATAACAAGCCATCCTGTTGTTATCTGCGAATTTGTAATGGAAGTGACGCATGGATGTGGGGCTGGCTGTGGAGGACTATTACATTGCACTCTCAAGCTGCTGCTGACACAGTAATCTGTTGAAAAGTCACAGTGGCATGTGACCTGTGTGAGACATTACCTGTTTTATCCAGCACACTGTAGAATGTGGATGCCCAACAGGTAATATGTGGTTTCACAGCTGTCTGTCACAGCTGCACAGACAAAACAAACCTTGACCTATCTGCACTGACAAAACAAACCTTGACCTATCTGTACTGAAAAAACAATCTTTGACCTATCTGCACTCACAGGTTGGGGTAAGGAGAGCTACCTCATACTAAGCTGTGTGACTGGCCTCTCTACTGGTGGATATCTGTATTTATTACCCACGTGGTCAACGTATGGGTAGTTGCACACTAATCCCGTACGTCACACGAGTGTCGTATCGCGTTGACCTGTGTCGTAACGACTTGACCTGAGATTCTAACGATTTGATTGGATAACCGATGACCTCTCAGTTAGGTCACGTTGTGAGGGAACTACTTGTTCATTCATAACAAACACGTGAATTCATTCATTCTACAACTTAGATGCATTCTGGGAATGTAAACATTGCGAACGTTGCCGTGTCGCTGTTTAATTGTGACTCGAACTGAGACATTATATCCATCGAAAAACATAATCGCAATGTTTCCACCAGTGATGTTAGCCGAGTGAAGCAGTTGCAAACCAAGAAACGGGGTACTACGGAGTAGTTTACTGTAGGAGGTTGTACGAGAGGTGATGATAACTGACATGCATCGTGACGTCGGTTACCAAAGGGACAGACCAGAATGGCATAGTGACGTCAATACAGTGTGACGTCATGCAAAAGTACTACAGAACAAAATTCTTCCGCAACCTCTTTATGAAACCGGTTTCGGTTTGAAACCATAGCAATAACAAAAATACGCTATTTTGTCAATTTAATGCATGTTAGACGTGGGTAATAAATGAAATACCACACTCGGTCTCATTACATATGAATTATAAGAAACTCGTGACCTTCTTATGCTTTCTGATATCGCTCGCTTTCGCTCGGTCAGACACCATAGGAAGAACACTCGTTTCGTATAATTCGTATGTAATGAGACCTCATGTAGTATTCTCTATGTACAGCTTGTTCAGCTTGACCTGATCAAGTGAATACTAATGAATTGCGTGACCGTGTCACAACTGGTTGGGTCTATTATTGTGAAGGGGTGCACCTTTGTCAGATGATTGGTGTAAACGAGTGGACTGAGTGTTGTACCTATTGTTGAAAATTTGGAAAGCGACTACTGGGACAGAAATATTGCAGTTGAACATGAAATAGAAAAAGTGATAATTGAAGTGTTGTTTTCCGGGACAGGTTCTGTAACGAATCGCACGGACGCAACATTAATAACATTCTCTGCACCCCTATATAATGAAGGTAACCTGATCTGCCATTTGTGCCTTTTGACCTCCCGGGTCATGCATATGTAGAGTAGCTCAGGTCAAGCTGAACAAGCTGTAGGCCAGTGTGCTGAGGGGTATTGGCCTTGAAGATGTTTACTATCAGCATATGTGTCCTCATCGTCCATAATCTTCATGGTTTACATTCCGATAAATCTCCACTATTACCCTGGATGTATCTGTGGCACCGCTTGATAATTGTATTACCTCCCTTTGCTGATTCTGCCTTCTCACAGTAGCCAATCAGATAAGCCATTACAACCAAGTTTTTCAGTGTCAACAAAGATGGCAGCTGAAGCCGCAAAGGTTTGGTCGCTGTGCAATGTTTCAGTGATTTTTCCTGAACAGGATTCAACTTTTCTATGTTGAAGCGAGAGCACACCCTATTGAAGTCAATTGTTTCCATGGCCAGTACTGTGTACTGAAGAAGCGGAAGTGCATTATGATAGAAGCCTTGTGATTGGTACGCTCAACTTCCCAGCATAGACACCTGATTGGATGAAAAGCCAGCAAAGGGAGGTAATACAATTATCGGGCTGAGCTGTAGATGCATCCAGGGTACTAGTGGAGATTTATCGGAACGCATACCCTGGAGATTATCGAGGATGATATGTCCTAGTCCTTATATTACTGGTATAAATGTGGTGATATAGACGTTTCAGGCCATCTGCCATGATTTCCAAAGTTATATCATTGCCATTAGCCTATTATGAATGGACACACTGAACTTTTAGTGTCAACCATACCAGAGAAAACTGAGAGTAATATCTAAGATGCAATGTTTGAATAACTGTATGTAATTCAAACTTGCAACATTCACTATTAGTATGCATATAGGAGGCTGTATATTTCATCGTGTATTAATGGGCTTTGGCGCTTGTCTTCAAGATGTTAATGCTTCTACTTCACAGAAGTACATATTAATAATATATTATTGTTATGTCCCAGGTTTGAATAATGGGGTGAATTTAGCAATCAGCATATCTTTTCATCCATCCTTATCCTGTTTCTGGAGCAGAAGTCTCAAATCATTGACTATTTCTTGTTGAAACTTGCTTTACAGATCAGTCAATACACAATTCTAAATGACAAGTCACACATTGTCCACACAGTTCGCACATAGCTCCAACTATCTGCTACAAAAAGTATCTCTCCAAACACCTTTCTGAGAACAGATAGTATTTTGATAGGTTATGCTGCTATATTTCTATGTTTTATGTTCGTGGTTTCACATTTCAGAGGAAACTGCACCTTGTTCTTCCGGTCTGACCCGTTGAAGATAGTGAAGGCTTCTGGGCAGTACATGTACGATGAGTCTGGGAAACAGTATCTAGATTGCATCAACAATGTCTGCCACGGTGAGTTAGGCTGTCATCACTGTATTTGACGTCTTCACTGACAAAGTCGTTTTCTCTTGTTCGTTCACATGAAGCGGTACAATGTTGTTTTCTTACATGAAAAAAAGTTTGATGAAAGTGTAACTTGTACTTAAGCCGACCCCACTTCTACGCACTGCCTTTAGGTCCTCAAAATTTGGCTTATCTGCGGTCATATACCATAGTTGATTACTACTTAGGTCTTAGTACTTTTATGATAAGGCTGCAATAAATGTAGATGTTCATCAGAGTGAGATGTATGAGTGCATGTGTGTGCGTGCGTGTATTGCAAACTTTAAGACTTATCTGTACGTAATATTAATGCAGACGTGTCTATTTTAGTTGGTCACTGCAACCCGAAGGTGGTGGAGGCAGGAGCCAATCAGATGATGGTTCTCAACACAAACTCCCGCTTCTTGCATGACAACATCGTCAAGCTTGCACAGCGCATCTCGGACACGTTACCCAAGCCGCTGTCAGTTGTCTACTTCACCAACTCGGGGTAAGTAGTCATGTGCGAGGTGTTTGTATTTTTTATTTATCTTTTTAGTGTATGTCAGTTCTGCTGCAGTTTGTCCTACACGTCAAAGATATTTTTTTTTGGAGTTAGAATTGTTCACCAGCCACCCATGCTTGTTGTTAGAGGCTTCTTACAGGAGGTCGGACTTGGCGACGTCAATGTTAGAATGTCATCACAATATTGTTGCTGTCAATATCAACCACTGAACTGATTTTCCACTCTCCACTATATAGGTTGCAGTCAGTCTATATTTCCAGTACTGAAAAGGCCATGGGCCTATAGTACATACGGTATGTACATGCACGCATGCACGCACATGTTCACACATAAACATAGTATCACTGGGTGTAGTGGGAATATATACAGTAGAATACAACTAATCTTAGTGTCATAAATCAAAACTGATGTTTTGAAGGGATTTAAAGTTCTGTAAAATTCAAATTCAGTGCTGAAACATAACTGTATGTTGTCAGCGCAAAAGTAGAAAAGTTTAATACATTGCAAATGTAGTTAAATGCCCTGCTTACAACTTTCATATATTTATAGCTACAGTTCATGTATGAAAAGTGAAATACTGCCAGTGTGACGATGAATATAAGTCAAACTCACTCACTCATGTATTAAAATAAAAAAAGTCTGCACCAAACAACCTTGATGAACAGATTACATAATCTATGATGCTCTCACATTCATGAACAGATTACATAATCTATGTTGCTAGCATCTTGGTGAACATATTACAAAATCTATGATGCTAGCACCTTGATGAACATATTACATAATCTATGATGCTAGCACCTTGATGAACAGATTACATAATCTATGATGCTAGCACCTTGATGAACAGATTACATAATCTATGATGCTAGCACCTTGATGAACAGATTACATAATCTATGATGCTAGCACCTTGATGAACAGATTACATAATCTATGATGCTAGCACCTTGATGAACAGATTACATAATCTATGATGCTAGCACCTTGATGAACAGATTACATAATCTATGATGCTAGCACCTTGATGAACAGATTACATAATCTATGATGCTAGCACCTTGATGAACAGATTACATAATCTATGATGCTAGCACCTTGATGAACAGATTACATAATCTATGATGCTAGCACCTTGATGAACAGATTACATAATCTATGATGCTTGCACCTTGATGAACAGATTACATAATCTATGATGCTTGCACCTTGATGAACAGATTACATAATCTATGATGCTAGCACCTTGATGAACAGATTACATAATCTAATCTATGATGCTTACATAATCACCTTGATGAACAGATTACATAATCTATGATGCTAGCACCTTGATGAACAGATTACATAATCTATGATGCTAGCACCTTGATGAACAGATTACATAATCTATGATGCTAGCACCTTGATGAACAGATTACATAATCTATGATGCTACCTTGATGCACCTTGCACCTTGATGAACAGATTACATAATCTATGATGCTAGCACCTTGATGAACAGATTACATAATTGATGAACAGATTACATAATCTATGATGCTAGCACCTTGATGAACAGATTACATAATCTATGATGCTAGCACCTTGATGAACAGATTACATAATCTATGATGCTAGCACCTTGATGAACAGATTACATAATCTATGATGCTAGCACCTTGATGAACAGATTACATAATCTATGATGCTAGCACCTTGATGAACAGATTACATAATCTATGATGCTAGCACCTTGATGAACAGATTACATAATCTATGATGCTTGATGAACAGCACTATTGATGAACAGATTACATAATCTATGATGCTAGCACCTTGATGAACAGATTACATAATCTATGATGCTAGCACCTTGATGAACAGATTACATAATCTATGATGCTAGCACCTTGATGAACAGATTACATAATCTATGATGCTAGCACCTTGATGAACAGATTACATAATCTATGATGCTAGCACCTTGATGAACAGATTACATAATCTATGATGCTAGCACCTTGATGAACAGATTACATAATCTATGATGCTAGCTAAGCACCTTGATGAACAGATTACATAATCTATGATGCTAGCACCTTGATGAACAGATTACATAATCTATGATGCTAGCACCTTGATGAACAGATTACATAATCTATGATGCTAGCACCTTGATGAACAGATTACATAATCTATGATGCTAGCACCTTGATGAACAGATTACATAATCTATGATGCTAGCACCTTGATGAACAGATTACATAATCTATGATGCTAGCACCTTGATGAACAGATTACATAATCTATGATGCTAGCACCTTGATGAACAGATTACATAATCTATGATGCTATTACATACCTTGATGAACAGATTACATAATCTATGATGCTAGCACCTTGATGAACAGATTACATAATCTATGATGCTAGCACCTTGATGAACATGATTACATAATCTATGATGCTAGCACCTTGATGAACACCTTGATGATGACAGATTACATAATCTATGATGCTAGCACCTTGATGAACAGATTACATAATCTATGATGCTAGCACCTTGATGAACAGATTACATAATCTATGATGCTAGCACCTTGATGAACAGATTACATAATCTATGATGCTAGCACCTTGATGAACAGATTACATAATCTATGATGCTAGCACCTTGATGAACAGATTACATAATCTATGATGCTTGCACCTTGATGAACAGATTACATAATCTATGATGCTAGCACCTTGATGAACAGATTACATAATCTATGATGCTAGCACCTTGATGAACAGATTACATAATCTATGATGCTAGCACCTTGATGAACAGATTACATAATCTATGATGCTAGCACCTTGATGAACAGATTACATAATCTATGATGCTAGCACCTTGATGAATTACATAATCTATGATGCTAGCACCTTGATGAACAGATTACATAATCTATGATGCTAGCACCTTGATGAACAGATTACATAATCTATGATGCTAGCACCTTGATGAACAGATTACATAATCTATGATGCTAGCACCTTGATGAACAGATTACATAATCTATGATGCTAGCTAAGCACCTTGATGAACAGATTACATAATCTATGATGCTAGCACCTTGATGAACAGATTACATAATCTATGATGCTAGCACCTTGATGAACAGATTACATAATCTATGATGCTAGCACCTTGATGAACATATTACATAATCTATGATGCTAGCACCTTGATGAACAGATTACATAATCTATGATGCTAGCACCTTGATGGACAGATTACATAATCTATGATGCTAGCACCTTGATGAACAGATTACATAATCTATGATGCGAGCACCTTGATTGCTAATATATGTGTAGTTCCTAACTCCTGACCCACATCTTGTAATGTGTATTAAGGCACTACATAGATTTAACGAACAATTTACTAACTTGCTCAACACATTATCTGCTAACGCTTTTACCAAGTTAAAATTGTTAAGTAGAAAACTAAACACAGAAGATTTATCATTGTCTAAATATTCAAGAATATCATCTTCAGCAATATATCCAGCTCAGTACCCATCCATGCATTAAAATCTCCAACGAACATAATATAAAGGTGTTTGCATAATATAAAGAACATGTAGTAGTGCTTCTTGTAGCAATAACACAGTGTTACTACAGTCAGGTGATAATGCATTATACTAACATGACAATATTCTGGGTGAATATACACACAGGAGTCAAATACATCCTTTTCTCTATTAAACTTGGTTTTGTCTATAAACACAAATATTCCACTTTTACCGATTGTTGTCATATAGCTGGGAGATATATGCTATGTATGCATTAAGCAACAAACAATCAACCAACTGAATATAGTAAAGTCCAAGAAATCTTGGCTCCCAGACAAGCAGGTATATATCTAATAGATTCCCCTTAACAAAGTGAGTTATGGTCATAGAAACCGTTGGAGCCTTTTGTCGCAATACCAACTTGCGCCGACAACAAAGTGACAAGAGCCATGTTGTTTTCAGTAGTTACATATATCTACTGGTTTCTTGTACTATTGCGATATTAAGTGTACTGCTATCTTGCAGATCTGAAGCCAATGATCTTGCGCTACAACTGTCGCGATATCACACAAAGGCCAAAGAAATCATCGCCTTGGAGAGGGCTTACCATGGTCATGTGATCTCCCTCTTGACTCTTAGCACATACAAGTTGGACCAGTGCAAAGATGGACAAAGCATGATGCCCGACTTTGTGCATGTTGTGAGTCAAATTTGTTTACTTGTTAACTGATGTACACGACAGCTTCCCTAGATATCATATTTTGTCAGTGCTCTGAACCTGCCTGATTCAGATTACATCAGATTCTGTTTAAAACTGTTTTTAATTTCTAACCTGAAAACTTTACCACAATATTACCAATCATGCAGAAAATTTACAGTGGTTGAGTGGTAAATGTTTTCTATGTTCCATTTATTCCGTGCCCAGTAATATCTATGCCAGTCATATATTCTATCTCAGACTCCTGCATCTCATTCCTGTAAGAACACAGTTATCCTGGGTAGACTTGCAACAATATGGCTTGGATGCCAGGTGGTTGCATGATATAAAGAACATGTAGTAGTTCTTCTTGTAACAATAACACAGCGTTACTACAGTCAGGTGATAATGCACTGTACTAACATGACAATATTCTGGGTGAATATACACACAGGAGTCAAATACATCCTCTTCTCTATTGAACTTGGTTTTGTCTATAAACACAAATATTCCACTTTTACAGATTGTTGTCATATAGCTGGGATATATATAGAGAATACTACACTCGGTCTCATTACATACGAATTATACGGAACGTGTGTCCTTCCTATGGTATCTGACCAAGCGACAGCGAGGTCAGATAACATAGGAAGGTCACGAGTTTCATATAATTTGTATGTAATGAGACCGAGTGTGGTATTTTATTTATTACCCACGTCTTACATGCATTTAAATTGACAAAATAGCGTATTTTTGTTATGTTGTTGGTTTCAAACCGAAACCGGTTTCATAAAGAGGTTGCGGAAGAGTTTTGTACTGTAGTACAATATTTGCATGATGTCACACTAATGACGTCACTGCCATGGTAACCGACGTCACGATGCATGTCAGTTGTCATCGCCTCGTACAGCCTCCTACAGTAAACTACTCGTTTCTTGGTTTCCAGTTGCTTCATTCGGCTAACATCACTGGTGGAAACATTGCGTTTATGTTTTTCGACAGATATAATGTCTCAGTTCGACTCACAATTAAACAGCGACACGGCAACGTTCGCAATGTTTACATTCCCACAATGCATTTAAGTTGTAGAATGAATGAATTCACGTGTTTGTTATGAATGAAAACATAGTTACGTCAGAATGTGACCTAATTGAGAGGTCATCGGTTATCCAATCAAATCGTTAGAATTTCAGGTCAAGTCGTTACGACACAGGTCAACGCGATACGACACTCGTGTGACGTACGTGATTAATATGCAACTACCCATACGTTGACCACGTGGGTAATAAATGCTATGTATGCATTAAGATGTAGTGTCATGTGCCCTTCAGCCACCAGAATCATCCGGTATCCGATCCATGGGTTACTGTAGATTCTGATCCTCATTTGGTCATCTTGAATGCATGGGTGTCCAGAACCAAATCCCAAATCCTGTCATGGTTGTGTCCATCACTGAGGAGGCATCACTGCAATGATATTCGTTTGCAGTGAGCCTTGCAGACCGTGGTGACACCATTGTTATCACGATGTCCTAACCAAATGTGTAATGAGATTATTCTACCACTGAAGCTGGCTACACTCAGGACACTTGTTACTACTGTTTACAAACTGAAAAAGCTGGAAGACTGATGGTGGATTATAAACAGAATCTCTTGTGCCTTTTGGTTTAACATGATTCAATAAAGCTCAGGCTCTCTGCATACACAGGCATCGTGTCCAGACACATTCCGAGGGAAGTACCGTGACTGCGACTACAGTATGGAGGAGCTGGGGCAGAAGTATGCAGATGACGTCAAGGACATCATCGATAACATCCACAAGGCTGGCAAAAGCGTCAGCTGCTACTTGGCTGAGTCCATACAGAGTTGTGGTGGCCAGATCATATACCCTCCAGGATACCTCAAGAAAGTCTTCCAGTGAGCTTACCAGATTGTTTTAGTATTTTGTACCTTTCTGACTGATCCTTGTCAATTAACCAAACAGAAGATGAGATTAGTTAAGCATGTGCTTATGAAGCAGCACCACTATCAGCAGAGAGATGTTCGGACTACAACGGTTGTAACTGCCAGATGTGAACATACACTTACTGTATGTAAGTGCTGCCTTAGTGCTGAGATCGCTTTAAGTGCACAAGCTGTGATTCCTGCTACTGCAACAGATCAATAAGGGACATCAACAATAGAAGACCTAAAACTAATAACCTCGCACAGCAAGCCATACCACAAATTGATGTATGTTTAAGAAATGTATTAACTTTGTTTTTGTTACTCTTTTAACCATTACATATGAAAGATTTGTGGTTAGTCTTATGCGGAACACCAAATTTATTCTTTAAAACTTGTGGTTAATTAATACCGGCGATTAAAGTGGCCAAAAATTAAGCCTGCTTCCCTCTAAGCCGCCAAAGCGAAACCACAGACAGAGTTACGTAACTCTGTCGCCAGAGCACTGCAGTGGCGTCATATGAGGAGCGATTTTCAGTTAGTTGTATAGAAAATGTGTAGCACGCTCATCATTTTGATGATTTCTCGCATCAACGATGACATGCGAATCGTTGCTTTGTCGTCAATTGCTCCTAGGGGTCGGCGATGGTGTCCCCATGAGCAGATTTCCACAGGACCCGCAGTTAAGTGCTAAATCGGTTATGTTTGTGAGTCGCGGCGGCGTTGTGGAAGCCTGAAGCGATATCTTACTTGTGTTCAGATCGCTTCACTGAAGTTAAAGAATCAAAACTACTTACTAGTTGTTGTAAAATATGCATATGATTGATGACCATAAAGATTTTCTATGACACAACTTGTAACATAGCGATTTCTTCCTCGGAAGTGAGGTTGTGGTCGAAGTAACAATAATATTGTAAGTAGTATTATATTGACACCCACCTGGCTGCCACGAGAAATTGTTATGTTATCGCTATGTCATGCAAAATCCTATTGGCCATCAATAAAATACATATTTTACTACCAGTAGAAAGTAGTTTTGATTTTGTAACTTCGGTGAAAACAAACCTAAATACCATTTATCCTCAGACTGGCGGATGTTCCCGACAGAGCCGCCATTTTAAAAATAAACAAATCTGTTAGAATTAATGAGATTATAGTTTGTTTTCATCAAGTTAGATAATCAAGACTACTTTCTACTTTCGTAGTTAAATATGTATTGGAATCATAACCAAACGGATTTTGCATGACACAACTTATAACATAACGATTTCTTCCACGGAGGCGAGGTGGGGTTCGAAGTCACAATACTGCTTGCGATAAATTTCTTGCTACATTCCATGGTTAATGTCCACTCACCAGTATGTAGATACTAGTCAGTAATGCGTCTTTATATTTGGTCTTATAATCCTAATTAGTTTATTATCATACTTGTATCCATTTTGAAACTAAATAAAATAATAAAAAGCAGACGATCTGCTGATACTTATAGTGAATTTATAACAGAACTGTAATATCTAGACATTTTATAGTTTGCCAATGTGAATCATAATTAGCACACACACCTAGTGCATGTTGTCTGACTCATTACACTTCCGCGGTGAAAACAATGATTCTGTTGAATGCTACGACAAATGAATAAAATCAAAATGCAAATATTAAAATTAAAACAGATTAAAGTTATAGGAACAATATCAGGCCATTACCTTGTTAGAGGAATGTATCCATCAATATCCACAAAACTGTTCCAAATGATGTGTCTTTTAACAGTTTAATATCTGAAAAAGTGATAAATCTTTTCAGGTATTGGTGTATAGTCTCATTGGTCACCCAAGATAGCACACCTGGCAACTAATTGCATAATGTCCGCCTTTCTTTAAAAACAGTAATTTAGTTAGCCAATAATGGGCAATCAATCAATGTATTGCCGGTTAATCCTTTGAAAGAAGGGCGTTGTTTTTACATGAACACCGACCGACAGAGTGTATTCAGTATAGATTAGTAAATCTACATACATAAACACTACCTTTTGACAATTCCGCTGTGTAAGATAAAAGTAATTAATCAATCAGCGTGTTATCGGTTAATCCTTTGATCGATGTTTATAATGTTGAATATTTACTCCAGACACAAGAAATGCCAAATGGGAACCTTTGTCGGGTAATCTAAGTGTGTTACCACTAATTATACCTGTTATAAATTCATTAACTGACCATCAAGTGAATGATGACAAATAACATGTGTAGGTTTATACCACCTAACACGGGTTACAACAAGAGGGAGTATTAATTACTGTATTGCATGTGAAAACGTATGGGCCGACACTGTTTTGAGAATACAAACAGATTTTTACATGACATGATTAAATATCGAGGTAAAAAAATACAGAAATGGGATCAATTTAGATCAGTCATTATACAAATAGGGCCTAACGACACCAATCGATTTTGACAGAATCGTCTACTGAAAACAAGTTGTAACTTCGGAAACTAGGCAAAGCAGGAGACAAAATTAAATGACAGTAGATTGTGAGAACATATAGCTTTTATTTTCCACAACAATTGTCCGCGATTTCAGGTTTATACAAGCCTGTAAACAAGATCATTTAACCCTAAAATGTAGATGAATTCTGCATCGGCCCTCAAAGCTATTCCTCATATGGCGTCACAGGCAGCGCTCTGATTGGTTGAAATTTGGATTCGCGGGTGAGAATTGTGCACTGTTGTCAAAAGGTCGATTTAAGTCAATTAAAGGTCGAAATGAGTAGTTTTAATGGCGGGGTTTCATTTATAACGATGCCAGTTAGTGATTGATGTATTTTTACCCCTAGGGTTTATGTGACCTTTAAGAAATGTATTATTTTCCTTATCCTGACTCATGCTAATTATGCTTGTCTCCTTCCTCTTGCGAATGATAGTGGAACACTTGAAATCCCTTGAAGTTCCCATTTTAAAAAAGCGGACGTAAAATCACTCACCCTTTCCACCCTTTGGCCCCCAAATGGTCACATGATCGGCCATATTTGTCACTCTCTCCTTCTTCGCCCCTGAGGATGGTTGTGAGAGCACCTGGATCCCTATACAGCACATATCCTTTCATAATTTCAGATCTTACATCAAAATTATTGCTGTATACGGTTTTTAGGATTATATTCTACATTATGGTTGGAAATTTGATTTAAATTTTCCTTTGTTTGACATGTATTTTCTTCATGTTTACATTTCACGAAAACTTGTATTCGTTGTAGGTACCGAGTGTCTGCGGCTGACCCACATTTATTATGTCCTAATTGCACTGTTTCATGTTCTTTCATCTCTCGCTGTAAGTTTTGTGTAAATTTAACCTCTGTTGAATTTACTAATTACCTTCTTCTTTTTTTTCATCCATAGACATGCTAAGGACTGGGTACGTAGGTAATTACAAGTCATGTCTAAATTGAGTGATTGCGCTGAAAACCGTGTGTTAACCACTGCTGCAGATATTCATAATTCTAGTGAATTGCTGAACGTTTCTCAGGAGCAGGTCAATGTACCAGGGGTGAACGCCGGAGGCCATAAGAGATCATCGTCTACTCAGCTGACCTCATCGCAGATGAAGAAGGCCAAATCTTCATCTTCGCAGAAGAAGAAGGCTACTACAATGAAGACTTCAGCGAAGTCTAAGATCAGCTCTACACAGAAGACGAGGTCTCTCTCAGCTGAGATTGTTCTTCCGGAAGAAGTTTGATGATCTACCCATCCTCATACCTGAAGTCACCATCGTCAGTAAGAAGACGAAGCCTGCTACATCAGCATTGGTATCAGCACAGACATTGACAGAAGACCTGCTATCAACGCAGACATCGGGTACCAGAGATAGCAGCAGTGTCCACTCTTCACGAGTGCAGCGAGCCTTAGATGACGTCTCTTCAGTATCCGATGCATCATCCCTGCAGCAGTCACTTCAGACAACACAGAACTTCAACCCAGGACTGTTCATGCAACAGTTTACAGACCGGATGATGTCGATGATGGAAGGTCGCTTCGCTCAGGAGAAGGCTGCTATGAAGAAAGCTACGTCTACTAGCCTGCGTGAAGGCTCTACAGTCTCCCCACCACATCTGGTTGAAGAGGGAAGCCTGCGCGAAGGCTCACGGACACGACAATCTTCCCCATCTGAAGTAGATGCCCCAGAGAGTGCTGCTAAGAAGTCTCCACGCAGGAAGGAATCGAGGCGTTCTCCCGAACCCTACAGACGTCGCAGATATAAGTCATCATCTCCATCGGACTCTTGACGCCCATCAAGGCACTCCTACAGAGGGGAAGCTACGTCCAGGAATCCACAGAGATGGGAGATAACGTCAATTAGCCTTCGTGAAGGCTTAGAAAGATATCTCAAGACTCCAGGAGGAATACACGGTCACACCAGGACCTTTCACCTGCATGCAGCTCTACATACAGATCTACATACAGAGACTCACGTCATTCTCATTCACATCAAATGTCTAACTTCACTGTCTGAAGTTAGAAGTCTGGAGAACTCTACTAACGTTAGTTCAACGATAGCAGATTTCCCCTTCATCATACGGAGCCCTTCATGATACATCAGGGTTTGAGATTACAAGATCATCAGTGAATCCCGTAATAGATATTTAAGATAAGAAGATAACACAACTGGACACTACAACTAGATGTTGGCTATGTTGGATCAACGAGTGGCTGAAAGAAGAGACACACACCTGAAGTAACGATGTCAGATAACATCCGATGAAACACTGAAGATGAAATTTCATCACATGGGCTTACAAGATATCAAAGGGACAGTTAAAAGGATTGTCGCAGTTCCTCAGCGAGACATCAGTTACGGTCAACTTTACAGAACATCTGTCTAAGATGACGACTGAACGTCCAGAACGTGGCTTGACCCATCACCGTTTCCGAGGGATTCTGCAAGCATAATTAGCATAAGTCAGGATAAGGAAAAATATGTATTTTTCTGACTAAAATTGATATTTTATACTTATCCTGACTCATGAGGTTACCCCTCCCAACCTTCCCTCTTTCGGCACTCTGGATTTCCCTGTAAATCCGTGTGGCGGGCTTACATACGGAGAGAGTGACAAATATGGCCGAATGGGCGCCAAAGGGAGGAAAGGGATCCTACTCTTGGTGAGTGATTTTACATCCGCTTTTTTAAAAGGGAACTTCAAGGGATTTCAAGTGTTCCACTATCATTCGCAAGAGGAAGGAGACAAGCATAATTAGCATGAGTCAGGATAAGTATAAATTATCAATTTTAGTCAGAAAATTACATACTTCTTTGATTGTCATTCTAGAATTTGGGTAGATGAAGAATGAGGACTATTTGTATGGATATACAACTTCTTTATTCTGTATAGGCGACGTTTCGACATAGCTTCTAATGTCACCACTTGCTTGATGACGACATTAGAATCTATGTTGAAACGTCGCCTATACAGAATACGAAAGTTGTATATCCATACAAATAGTCCTCATTCTTCAAGAACTATATTTGAAGCCTCAATACTGGTAATATGCTACTCAAAAGAAGTAAGAATACACTCTAGTAATATGAAAGGATCTGGTGTTCACATTATACCATCATGTGTGTTTGGTGCTTCATTTGGTGTTCTTGTCCATCCACTATTGCCATGCAGGTATGTTCGTGAGGCTGGAGGGCTGTGTATCGCTGACGAGGTTCAGGTGGGCTTCGGGCGAGCAGGCTCCCACTTTTGGGCTTTCGAGACACAAGGTAGGGAGGATTTGAAGGTGAAATGGGGTTTATTGTTGTGTCAAGGCTTACAGTCTTAATTATCATGATTATATGCATGTATGGCGTGTGTTTTTGTGCGTGTTTAACAGTTCTTGTCCTCCGAAGGAAATGCCATAGTTTAGCATGGATATCGTACACATGCTCAAAGCCAAGAAGTAATGGTTTTATCCACATGCAGTCAACAAGGCAGGGAAAGAACATGCATCATATTGTAATGTTTCTTGGTACAACATGCCAGAGGATCCAACCTCCAATGTGTCTCTGTCTTGGGAGATGCTCTATCTACTATACCATGTAGGCGGTCATCTTCCATGTGTTACATTGCAGTCTAGGTACAATTGAGTTTTTGACTTGGTAGACCAGTTAATGAAGGAATTAGTGGCATGTTGAATCAACCATTTGATCGATTGAATTGGTTTTAGCATGCAGAATGTAAAGTGCCGTCACATCCATGGTGGCCCAGTCATTGAAGGTGCTCCATTTCGCTGTCCAGGACTGCATCGATTGGGCATGCCACGAGCATTCTTGATTGTGTTTGTCAGCACCATGTTTTTGCTGGTGGCTTCTCACCCAAACTGTAAGAGCTGCCATGTTGACATCCTGATAGTGATCATCACTTCATGTCTACTTGCATCAGCTCCTACAGACTCACACAGGATCTGGAGTGCTGGTTTCTCGACCCATATATTTGTTGACTAACCTGAACCTGATGTACAAATTCTATAGTCTATGTTATCTACTTAGACTTGATACTCTTTCATTTAACCCAACTCTGAAAGCAAAACATCTGCCATATTCCATTCATTTATAATGCCTTCCTCAGGGCATGTTGTCTGTGAGTTGAGATAGTGGAAGAGTGTTTAGCCAGCAAAAACCCACTCATGTGCATGTTGTTGCAGACGTTGTTCCTGATATAGTGACAATGGGAAAACCCATGGGTAATGGTCACCCGATCGCTGCAGTGGTCACCACACCTGAAGTTGCAGCCAGCTTCATGTCAGCAGGAGTGGAATACTTCAACACAGTAAGGAGAAGCACGAACGTTTGCATCACTAATAACATCAACACTGTGTACGTTTCTTACACTGGCAGGGTTGTGTAATACTTGTCGTCCCTGCCATGGACTGAACAAACTATGTGATGTAATGAAATATATGATATTGAATAGAATTGAAAAACACTTGAAAGTGAATTGGTACGAGTGACAGTATATCTCTCTTGTACTATACCTGACATCTCCAATGATGTCCAATATATATATCTCGTATATACCTCTCTTGTACAATACCTGCCAAGGTTTAAAGGTATTGTAGAATACGTGTTAGAGTTGACTGTTATGTAACACTCTTTTTATTCCTACCAGGAACTGAATGTAGAAAACTTTTAAGGGAGGACCTTTGCCTAACACCTATACCAAATAAAACACTGTCATAGCGAATTTGTTTTCTGTTTCCATAGTAATGTAATACTGGAGGCTCTTTCAGTTTGCAGGCAACCCAGTGTCCTGTGCGATATCTCTGGCTGTACTCGATGTTATTCGGGATGACAAGCTGCAGGAAAATGCTGTAAAGATAGGAGGTTACTACCTGGAGAAGCTGAGGGAAATGAAATCACGCTACAACATCATTGGAGATGTCAGGTATAGTCCGGGAGGGGATTACGGGACATCATTGGAGATGTCGGGTATAGCTGTAGGGGAGTACAGGACATCATTGGAGATGTCAGGTATAGCTGTAGGGCAGTACGGGACATTATTGGAGATGTCAGGTAGAGCTGTAGGGCAGTATGGGACATCATTGGAGATGTTGGGTTTAGCTGTATCAGATGTCAGGTATAGCTGTAGGGCAGTACGGGACATCATTGGAGATGTCAGGTATAGCTGTAGGGCAGTACGGGACATTATTGGAGATGTCAGGTATAGCTGTAGGGCAGTATGGGACATCATTGGAGATGTTGGGTTTAGCTGTAGGGCAGTACGGGACATCATTGGAGATGTCAGGTATAGCTGTAGGGCAGTACGGGACATTATTGGAGATGTCAGGTATAGCTGTAGGGCAGTACGGGACATTATTGGAGATGTCAGGTATAGCTGTAGGGCAGTATGGGACATCATTGGAGATGTTGGGTTTAGCTGTAGGGCAGTACGGGACATCATTGGAGATGTCAGGTATAGCTGTAGGGCAGTACGGGACATTATTGGAGATGTCAGGTATAGCTGTAGGGCAGTACGGGACATTATTGGAGATGTCAGGTATAGCTGTAGGGCAGTACGGGACATTATTGGAGATGTCAGGTATAGCTGTAGGGCAGTACGGGACATTATTGGAGATGTCAGGTATAGGACGGGAGGGCAGTATGGGACATCATTGGAGATGTCAGGTATAGCTGTAGGGCAGTACGGGACATCATTGGAGATGTCAGGTATAGCTGTAGGGCAGTACGGGACATCATTGGAGATGTTGGGTATAGCTGTAGGGCAGTACGGGACATCATTGGAGATGTCAGGTATAGCTGTAGGGCAGTGCGGGACATCATTGGAGATGTCAGGTATAGCTGTAGGGCAGTCACGGGACATCATTGGAGATGTCAGGTATAGCTGTAGGGCAGTGCAGGACATCATCATTGGAGATGTCAGGTATAGCTGTAGGGCAGTAGGGACATCATTGGAGATGTTGGGTATAGCTGTAGGGCAGTACGGGACATCATTGGAGATGTTGGGTTTAGCTGTAGGGCAGTATGGGACATCATTGGAGATGTTGGGTTTAGCTGTAGGGCAGTCACGGACATCATTGGAGATGTTGGGTTTAGCTGTAGGGCAGTACGGGACATCATTGGAGATGTCAGGTATAGCTGTAGGGCAGTACGGGACATCATTGGAGATGTCAGGTATAGCTGTAGGGCAGTATGGGACATCATTGGAGATGTTGGGTTTAGCTGTAGGGCAGTACGGGACATCATTGGAGATGTTGGGTTTAGCTGTAGGGCAGTACGGGACATCATTGGAGATGTTGGGTTTAGCTGTAGGGCAGTACGGGACATCATTGGAGATGTCAGGTATAGCTGTAGGGCAGTATGGGACATCATTGGAGATGTTGGGTTTAGCTGTAGGGCAGTGCGGGACATCATTGGAGATGTTGGGTTTAGCTGTAGGGCAGTACGGGACATTAACCGTGAGGCTTTAACTGAGTAGCACCAGTATTACAGTTGAGTGTAGTTTCTGTTCATAGTGGGTAAAGCAATATCCTTGTTGCTAAATATACTCGCTTTAGCAAGTAAAAGTGGTGATAATATTTTAAATACGACTCAAGTTGAACATATGTAAAGCAACATGCTTAATTTTTGCAATATTGATGCATTATGCACATATGTCACAAAAGACGCAGTTTTGATTTGTTTATGATTCTTCAGCATTCATGTTTGTGTGTGAAGGAGTGTTCATGTTGATACATTGCAGGGGCGTGGGGATGTTCGTGGGGATTGACCTTGTAAAGGACCATGGCACCAGGGAAGCCGCCTCAAAAGAGGCTGAATATGCCATTACAAGGTGAGTGAACTGATCCATTCCAGCACAGGTCCTCAAGCTGGTTGTATGGAGTGACGTTGGGTTGGGTGGTCAGGCTAAGTGCCTCTGTTGATGGTGTGTTAACATGCCCAGATGGCTGTTCATGTCAGTCACTAGATCATCTGGTTCAGACAGTGACAATGGGTTGGGTGGTCAGGCTAAGTGCCTCTGTTGATTGTGTGTTAACATGCCCAGATGGCTGTTCATGTCAGTCACAAGATCATCTGGTTCAGACAGTGACAATGGGTTGGGTGGTCAGGCTAAGTGCCTCTGTTGATTGTGTGTTAACATGCCCAGATGGCTGTTCATGTCAGTCTCTAGATCATCTGGTTCAGACAGTGACAATGGGTTGGGTGGTCAGGCTAAGTGCCTCTGTTGATTGTGTGTTAACATGCCCAGATGGCTGTTCATGTCAGTCACAAGATCATCTGGTTCAGACAGTGACAATGGGTTGGGTGGTCAGGCTAAGTGCCTCTGTTGATTGTGTGTTAACATGCCCAGATGGCTGTTCATGTCAGTCACTAGATCATCTGGTTCAGACAGTGACAATGGGTTGGGTGGTCAGGCTAAGTGCCTCTGTTGATTGTGTGTTAACATGCCCAGATGGCTGTTCATGTCAGTCACTAGATCATCTGGTTCAGACAGTGACAATGGGTTGGGTGGTCAGGCTTAGTGCCTCGGTTGATTGTACATGCCCAGATGGCTGTTCATGTCAGTCACTAGATCATCTGGTTCAGACAGTGACAATGGGTTGGGTGGTCAGGCTAAGTGCCTCAGTTGATTGTACATGCCCAGATGGCTGTTCATGTCAGTCACTAGATCATCTGGTTCAGACATCTATATGTACAGGCTTCCATCTTGTGGGAATATTACAAAGTAACATCCATTCCTTGTTGTCAAGTGGTGCAGCATCAGAGTCTTCATCTTGTCCAGCATTGACTTCAGTAGCAAGTGATAAATATCTCTGCACTTAAAACTTCAGAAAGAGGTCACCTTCCTTGCATACTGTACTCTTGCACACTCCACACATTCATCTAGGTGTAATTTTGAAACTGTTTAAACAAAAATATGGTCCTACTATATACCTAATTGCAATAAGACCATTGTGAATCTGTATTAATAGATCACATGTTGGGCAGGTTGAAGGAGAACGGCATCCTGTACAGTCGGGATGGACCAGATAGGAATGTGCTCAAGTTTAAGCCACCCATGTGTTTCACCACTGAGGATATAGACAAGCTCTGTACTGCTCTGTCTGAGGTGTTCGAGGAGATAGAGAAGGGCCTCCACCTCACCAACTCCTCCAACAACGCTGATGTGGAGGAGGAGACTCGACCAGTGAAGCGTCTTTGTGTGGACGTTAATGGCTCAGATTCAGACTCAGGTGTGGAGAGATGTTCATCTCATCACGCAGCCAAAGTGCATTAATCCTCGGAGAGAACAAGATGATGTGCAGCTATGCACCAGGGCCTAGAGTTTGGAAGCTCTCTTAGAGCTAAGTTAGTCGTAAGTTAATGTTAATGTATGGCACTTACGACTATCCTAGCTCTAAGAGAACTTCGAAAATCTAGGCCCTGTTCAGCAGTATACCACAGAGTTCAGTGCAACAGCTGGTAGTGCAGCGACCTGGTCACAAAGCTGTCACAGTGTTTGTTTTAATCTAGAGGAGTAATGATACTCTGTATAGGATGATATTGTGGAACTAAATATACACAAGCCTACAGTTCTGAAATATATTAATGAAATACTACATGAAGTTAGATGTTCAGATAACCAACTTTTCTGAGTTGATACCCTGTTATGTAGAGACCCACCCCATACAATGATACCCTGTTATGTAGAGACCCACCCCTATACAGTGATACCCTGTTATGTAGAGACCCACTCCATACAATGATACACTTTTATGTAGATACCCACCCCATACAATGATACCCTGTTATGTAGATAACCACCCCTATACAGTGATACCCTGTTATGTAGAGACCCTCCCCTACACAGTGATACCCTGTTATGTAGAGACCCTCCCCTACACAGTGATACCCTGTTATGTAGAGACCCACCCTACACAGTGATACCCTGTTATGTAGAGACCCACCCCATACAATGATACCCTGTTATGTAGAGACCCACCCCTATACATTGATACCCTGTTATGTAGAGACCCACCCTATACAGTGATACCCTGTTATACGAATGTGTTAGACTGCCAGTAATGTTCCACACTTTGAAGACTTTGGTATGAAGAATCTGGAAGATATTATGGATTTGTTGTTGCTTGATAGACCTGATGTGTTAACTTTTAATTTTGAATAAATTTTATTTACACTGTGCATTAAAGAGTGCATACATGATATCTAGTTTGATTTTGTATTGCTGTTACGTTTTTGCTATACGTTGTCTTGTACTGAGAATGTAGCTGGTTGCCTTTTGTTGGACATGGCGGAAATAAGCTGTGTGGTTTTATATGTGTAGAAAGTTGAGCTAGAACCTTTTTGTGTTTCCTCATCTTGATATTTGGTAACATTGGGTGCCAGCATAATGGCAATTTCAGTTTGTTTATATTTTTAAAAGATTTGAAGATGTGATATAGTTGTTTTGTTCCCAACACTTTGATTCAGAGTTGGCAAGATGTACAACAAGATACATGCCTGTGGTAAGTCATTAGTCAGTGTTACGGTATTGGAGCTCTACCTGACATGTCATCCTGTATGTATATGTATGAGGGGGACCTACCACAACTGTGTTGGGGTATGGGGGATACTTGTTATGCAAAGAGATAAGAATATTGTAAATAGATGATCCAGTATGCGAGTTATATGTTCTGCAAAGAGATAAGAATATTGTAAATCTATGATTTGGTATGCAAGTTATGTGTTTTGTGAAGAGATAAGACAACTGGAAGCCTTTGTTAAGGTATGGGAGCTACTTGTTCTGCAAAGAGATAAGAATATTGTAAATCTATGATCAGGTATGCAAGTTATGTGTTTTGTGAAGAGATAAGACAACCAGAAGCCTTTGTTAAGGTATGGGAGCTACTTGTTCTGCAAAGAGATAAGAATATACCATTAAAATTAGGGGATATTCCAGTTTTCAAGCATACCACTAGCCAATGCCAATGCATATGAGAAAAAGTAATATATCCATACAGATGAAACATTTCCAAAGGAATGGAATAAATTGTCACATTTTCCCTTAATTTCTCTTCATCATCCATTTCCTCCTTGGCTTCATCATTTGAATTTTATCAATCTTGTAAATCCGAGATCCCCTACATTTTTTGAATGGTATAATATAACTATGATAAGGTATTTGAGGAATGTGTTTTGTGAAGAAATAAGCTGATTGTAAATCCATCTTGTACCTGTGGGTGTCAGTGTGTCTGTTACAGTTACCTGAGATGTACCTGTGGGTGTCAGTGTGTCTGTTACAGTTACCTGAGATGTACCTGTGGGTGTCAGTGTGTCTGTTACAGTTACCTGAGATGTACCTGTGGGTGTCAGTGTGTCTGTGTTACAGTTACCTGAGATGTACATGTGGGTGTCAGTGTGTCTGTTACAGTTACCTGAGGTGTGTACATGTGGGTGTCAGTGTGTCTGTGTTACAGTTACCTGAGATGTACATGTGGGTGTCAGTGTGTCTGTTACAGTTACCTGAGGTGTACCTGTGGGTGTCAGTGTGTCTGTTACTATTTACCTGAGATGTACCTGTGGGTGTCAGTGTGTCTGTTACAGTTACCTGAGATGTACCTGTGGGTGTCAGTGTGTCTGTTACAGTTACCTGAGATGTACCTGTGGGTGTCAGTCTGTCTGTTACAGTTACCTGAGATGTGTACATGTGGGTGTCAGTGTGTCTGTTACAGTTACCTGAGATGTACCTGTGGGTGTCAGTGTGTCTGTGTTACAGTTACCTGAGATGTACATGTGGGTGTCAGTGTGTCTGTTACAGTTACCTGAGATGTACCTGTGGGTGTCAGTGTGTCTGTTACAGTTACCTGAGATGTACCTGTGGGTGTCAGTGTGTCTGTTACAGTTACCTGAGATGTACCTGTGGGTGTCAGTGTGTCTGTTACAGTTACCTGAGATGTACCTGTGGGTGTCAGTGTGTCTGTTACAGTTACCTGAGATGTACCTGTGGGTGTCAGTGTGTCTGTTACAGTTACCTGAGATGTACATGTGGGTGTCAGTGTGTCTGTTACAGTTACCTGAGGTGTACATGTGGGTGTCAGTGTGTCTGTTACAGTTACCTGAGATGTACCTGTGGGTGTCAGTGTGTCTGTTACAGTTACCTGAGGTGTACCTGTGGGTGTCAGTGTGTCTGTTACAGTTACCTGAGATGTACCTGTGGGTGTCAGTGTGTTTGTTACAGTTACCTGTATGGTGTGTGAATCTGGGAAAATCCTGCACTGTTCATACAACCTGCAAAGTTCTTAGTTTCCATTTTTATGAACTAGTCCAGAGTTTGTAGTTAGTCCGTCCTGAACAAGACAGATATGTTGGCTATGCCTACATTTTCTGTTAGTTTCAACCATTCTGTATGTAAAAAAACTTGAAACCTAGTTCTGAATTAAAGTTCTCATGTGCCTCTAGTCAATGAGGATTGGATTTGTATTTGTCTTTAGAACATGGATTTTGAAGGCTTGCTATAGTTTCTTCAGGAGCTGATATTATTACACAGCTGTTGATTGCATAGAAGAGGTGCATTAGGGATTTATCCTATAAAATGTGGGTACAGTATACATAGGCTGTGTGGTTTCAAGATGGAATGATGTGAAGTAACCCTGTGTATGCAAAACACTGAGAGCATGTTGAGAGAGGCCTAGGAAGTGAAGTACCTGTATGTTTGGTCCAGCTTTCTGAGTGTCGGGAGCAGTTAGGGGCAGTATCACTTTGGAGGATGGGTCGGGACAATATCCCATTCCACAAAACAATCTCAGCACTATGACAATCTATCTCCCATGCTTCAATATAGAACTAAGTCATAATGCTAAGACTGCTTTGTGCACGTGGCCAAGGACCCTTCTACTAGTTCTAGAACAATGATGAGAATGTCAGGTAAGATGACACAAAGTATCCAGTCACAAACTGTCTGAAGTAATCTTTTGGCTCTAGGTTGGTGACAATATCAAATTTCATATGTGCCCAAGGCATAGTAATGGTCTCTGAATATATATATATCGTATATTGCATACCAATATGTTTGAATATATAGCATAGTTAACGTGTCAGGGCTGGTTGTATGTTATGTATGAACTAAATGGAATGTATGTCATACCAAAGTGAACACATGAGTCAGCGATGGTATTATATGTTGTACCCGGTATTTGAACTGAATATATCATATGTTGTCTACCTGTCTTGTGACTATGTACCATATTAAACATGTGAGTCAGGGCTGGTATTCTGTGAACTAAATGTAATATACCATAGAGTCCGTACTGGGGTCACATCTACTACCCAGGTACTGGACTTCCTATTATTCACTGAGTAAGGTATAACATATGTTATTGAAAATATAGTGTCACTGAATCCTGGCAGATTATGTAGATGATCAGGTCATGCATACACTGAAGTTGACTGAAGCTTTATCATCATTCAAACAGATTAGAAACAGAAGGAATGTGTGCCTAGTCCAAAAGAGTGAGTGAGTGAGTTTGGTTTTACGCCGCTTTTAGCAATATTCCAGCAGTATCATGGTGGGGAACACCAGAAATGGGTTTCACACATTGTACCCATGTGGGGAAAGGAACCTGGGTCTTCGGCGTGACAAGTGAACGATGTAACCACTAGGCTACCCCACCGCCCCTAGTCCGAAAGAACGTAAGTGACGGGTAGTTTAACTGGAGAAGTGTATTTTGGACAACATAACACATGACTAACCACAGTTAAGAGAGGTTCCATTCAGTAACAAACCCCACACACATCCCTCCCACCCACCCCAACTCAACCTGTGTTACACGTCCCAGCCCATACATGAGCTGCCTGCATCTGTCACATGTTACAATATGGTGTTATCACTTGTGCCTGTCTAGTCGCCTGCTACATTTACGAGTAATTTGTATTGCATGTAAGTCACAAATAATTTATTGATTACAAGGGCCATTGCTTAAGACAAGAGAACTGAGTGAGGAACATGTGGTAAGTGTATATATACATCGCGTATAACGTGTATAGCGAGCAGCTACTGGGAGGTCACAGGCATATGAAGCTCAGTGGCCAAGTTGACTTACATGTTGTAAAGTTCTTATATTGTACAGAAACACATTGGATACTGGTATTATACATCACTGTTTTAGGGTAGTTTTGTCTTCATACCTATGTGAGCCAGAGACACCAATAGGAGTTCTGTTGATACAAAGGTCAAGCTGTGTGGTTTTAACCATGTAAAATGTTCTATGTAATTCTCACATAATTACATGATCACTTGGAATATCTATCACAGAGTGTTTATGTTCTGTCAAGCGACAGGGTGAATACAAAGATTTTACAACTTATGTATAGTGTTAAGGTTGGTTAGATAATGTACCGTTCATAATTTATGGCTTGTGGGGTAGGGGTAGGGTTGAGGAGTAGCATGTACAGTGTGGATGGTACAATGTGAATCCCCCCCCCCAAGATTTATGTACAAAGTAAGTGACCCCCCTTGCATGTCATGTACAAAATCAATGACCCACTCCTGTACTTTTTAAGCATATTTTGAATATTTTTACGTACAAAATTGCTGTACCCTCGCCCAGTACATGTGTACAAAGTTGATGACCCCTACCTCTCAGAACAAAATGGGTGACCCCTCCAAGCCATAAATTATGAACGTTCCCTAATATGCAATTTTAAATTCAAAATCTGAAAGTTCAAGTTTTTGGAGAAATGTGTATGATACATACATGATACGTCCATGATACATACTGAGGATGTCACCTTGTTGCTATAGATACCAACTGTGTACCAAAGATGTCCGTCCTCTGTATCGGGGCACACACTCCATATGTACCAAAACAGTGTACGTGACTCCTATTAAGTGCAAGATATGAAAATACAGAACAGAACAAAGTGTCTGAATAGCATTGTAGGAAGTGTTTTCAATATTTGTTTTTCATATATTGTTGAGATTACAGCATTTAAATACTGAGATTGTTTGTTGTTGAATTTTCAGGGTGATTTGGGGTGTTTCAGGACATGTATGCTTGTATTTATATGGAAAACATTGCGTAGTAACAAAGTTTGGTGAAATAAATCTATTATTGGAATTGCTTTGATGTTTTTTCTTTCTTTGAGTAATTGTTTTCAGATTAATACACAATGCCATTTAGAAAGTGGTCAAATGTAACTTGCCATATTTGGTATTACACTTTCTCAGTAAAGTACAGAGTAGAGTACTTTGTTTTCTAAGTCCCATCCAAGATATTGAACCAGAACTCTCATTGTAGATCCATACTACCAGTTACAAGACTTCTATTTTTTGTGGAACCCAGGATGGTTGAGTGGGTTGGATAGACTTGGTTGAGTGGGTTAGACTTGTGTGCTGGTGATTTGGTGCCATAACTTCTTTGAGTTGCAAACTTTATGGATAATATCACACTGACAAAATAAAGAACTTGTTATCCATTAAATTTGTCCAGATTTGGTGCCAGTCTCTGAGAATGTGGGTTTGAATCCAGGATAGAACTAGAATCTGTCCTATAGAGAAAGTGTTGTCCAAACTATGACATATGTCAGCACCATTTCACCAGGCTCCAAAGTCTCATACCACCGCATTGCTCTTTCTACTTACATTTGTGGTGTATTTCAGGAAGGACAATCCAGTATGTATTGAGAGTTGATCAGTGTAGTGACTGCATTAGAGCCGATGTGGACAGATCACATACTGGTGGACAACTTATTCAATGAGTCCCCATTATTACATGTAACCATTGTCAATATGGGACCGGTGAAGGTCCGGGTTAGGATATTGAGCCTTAGTAACCCATGCTTGTCGTAAGAGGTCACTAATGGGATCAGGTGGTCAGGCTCGCTGACTTGGTTGACACATGTCATTGGTTCCCAATTGCGCAGATCGATGCTCATGTTGTTGATCACTGGATTGTCTGGTCCAGACTCTATTGTTTACAGACCGCCGCCATATAGCTGGAATATTGCTGAGCGCGGCGTAAACCTAAACTCACTCACTTGTCCATATGGATTGAATTTTAGTGATTATCAAACTTAACCTGTGTTTGTTTATGACTTGCTTGGTTCAATACATTTTAAATATCAAATTTTTCAAATTCAGCCATTGACTAGATCCAGCATTCTCTTCCCACAGAGGTTACTTGTCATATCTTCCTACGAACCTCTGTTCTAATACGGCCCTTTCGTGGTGCGATTGTTCAGGATTCGTGATTGGATGCAATTATATTTTGTTGTGCAATCAGCGACGTTGTTTCAAAAGGGATCATTTGCAAAGGCTTCGGTAATTTCCGTATGCTTCGGGAAAACTAGACCCTCTTCCCCTGTGCGATGCGCAAACGTTTCTTCTAGACAGAACTCAGTCATGTTATGGCGGATCAATGGCGTCTCCATCGCCCTCGTTGACAATGGACAAGCTAGCCATTAAATGTCTTGTGTGTCACATCAACACAAGTCCCCGGCAGAGGAGGGATATTTGTGGCCCCATATTTGCTTGCATTAGTCAAATTGGATCTAAGTCGATGTAACATGTGTTCTGATTGGATAAAAAGAAGAGAGATAATTCGTGTTGCGATTTTTTGCCGCTACGGGATTCTACAAGTACCGGGAACTATGGCCGTATTAGAACAGAGGTTTGTAGGAAGATATGACAAGTAACCTCTGTGGGAAGAGAATGCAGATCCAGTTGCCAACATATTCCCTGGCAACCATACCAAGACAAGTGACAGCCATGGTACAAGCTGTACAAATTCCAACATCCAGTGAAAGAGACAGATCTGATGCACAAGTTGGGAAAGAACACATCAACACAGACAACTTCAAGAGGTCAGCTGGACAGCGTTTAATTCACAAAAACATTTGGTGCTCATAATATGTGAGAAACTACTGACATCAGCGGACTGGTTTCCTTCAGCGTCATGATGTATACAATGTAGGTATAACTAACCACACATGGCCCCTTCTCCCACACACACAGATTATTGCGACCAGAAATCCTAATTCTCTACGCCTCTTACCTTCATACTGTTGTAGACATCTATGGATCTCTATACAGAACTAAAAGTCTGCTTCATGACAAATGCCAATTACACAATTTTAATTTAGACAGCTGCCTCAGGTCACACATTTTATTTTTTAAATTTCAAGAATTTAAATCAGTTGAACAGAAAAGTTTGTATTTATTTATTTTTATATTGGTATGAAGTTGTGTGTTTTTTAAAGGCTGACAACTGCTATTTCTGTTTACGTGTGGGATGTTCAGAATGTCTAAAAAACATGAACATGTGTATTACCGGTACATGACTTCCAAGGTAGGACTTTTTTAATAACTTGGTTATGGATGCTCCCACTCCAAAACACTGAAATGTTAAACACAAAATTAAAGAAAGACAGTGGGTTTTGTTAATCCGTTGACCAAAATTAAGTAGAATTAAGGTAGAAGAAGAAAACTCCTAATTTACAGTTGCCATTAATCTAAATATTAAATTTAAAACAAAAATTAAAACCTAAAAAATTAATTGTGAAAACATCAAACAACAAATTATCTTGAATTCCAGTTCCTCCATCCCTTCTTGTACCCATTTTCATTCCTACCCAACTACATTTTGAGAAATATTAGAAATTATAGTTTTTGTCCCACTGACCAGAATGTTTTACCCATAATTCCATGAACCCCCAAAATATGTCGGGCGTAAGAAGGCTTCTGATGTTATTTGCTCACAGAGTCCATTGACAGTTACAACATTAGCATCAACTTCAACACTGTAATACTGAAGATGTAAACTCCATGCACCAACATAACCTGGAATAGCTTCAGCAAAGACTGATGGAATGAATGATCAACAAACAGATTAATTAACATATTAAATAACTTGGACATATGTACATATAATGACTTCTTTAAAATATTTAGACTCCAAACATCAAAATCAAGTCAAGTGGGAGTAAATATCTTGATAGTTTCTGTACACTGGAAATAAATAAACAAAACTGTAGCACTTTAACACATCGAATACAACAATTCTTGTTAAATGTATGTCAAAATAATGCAAATAAAATGACTGCAACAAACCATTCAGGTCAAAGATATACTTCAGTAGACACAGGGGTCCTAGTATACATACTTACATTTATACATGCATACAAATATGTTGAACATTTAAATATCTCATTATGAAATAACAACGCTTATTGCACAGGTGGAGGTATATTTATAGATCATGTATAAATAGATTTTAAATTCATGAAAAATGACAAAATCCATGTAAGTATATAGGTATGGACTTTGAAGCACTCGGAATCCATGTTGAGACAAGATTCTGGTCTGGGAACAATCTCAAGGTCGTCATTTTCATAGGGATTAAATATGATGGTGACTTCCCTTCCTTCCATGTGGGTCATCCACTGACCTTGAGATAAGACTGAGTCTGCAACTTTGCTTGTGATGACCGCTGACCTTTAGAATCGACTGGAAATAGAGGATATTATATGAGTGCCCATGTCATACTATGTTTACGACACGAGTGCCTAAATGTTGGTATTTCCCGAGCGAGAGCGTAGGTAATAAGATAAGTTATTCCCTCTTTCTGTTGAGAATGTATATGCAGTCTTGTGTGATTCAGCTTCCTGTTTGATTCAGTGAACACAGGAAATGGTATAGAGTAGAGTCTCTATTGCACAGCCTTGGCAGGTACATTAACATGCTGTGATTCACTGGTACCACCTGAACAGAAACATGTGTTGTTCTCAACCACCTGGTCAAAGACTACCAATAGTAAGCTCCCTTGTCTTCAAAACTGTTCCCACCCTCGAGCCCACCATGATAGGACAAAGTTGTGGTTAAGGGTTGGGTCTCGCGATATCAAGTCCTGCGTCAAGGTCTTAGTTCTAGGTCGACTCTCAAGGTCAGGGGGGTCACTCTCAGTACGAGATTTTGGAGACGGTGCCTTTGATTCTTTGATGATATCGATATATCCTCTTCCGAGAGTGACAATGCCGGGACTGCAGAAGGAGTCATCTGAATTGACAGCTCCTTCCTCGGATAGCAAGGGAAAGATGCTTCTGATATAGAACTCCTTCGCACAGTGGCACTTGAAGACACTTAGGGGTTTGAGAGTGACAGAGTCGGTGATAATGACATTGCCCCAGGTTGTACCCAGGTACAGATAGCTTCCTAGCACATTCATGGCAGTCACTTGATACTTGTTGGAAGAATTCTGGCCTATGGAAGAATGAAAACATTGCTTGAAATGATTTGTTATTATATTGCATAACCAGTTTGTATCTATATCCCACTCATGTAGCAAGTGTTAAACTAAACATTAAAAGTACTGGTACTTATAAACACTGACTTGTTTTCTGAATAGGATGGTATATTGACTGACCAAAATATAGACCCAAAGCTATGACATACTGGTACAGACACTGACTTCAGTTGTATGAAGGAAATGATAGGCCACAAACCAGTACTACACGTTTTCCCCATACCACATTTTCCCCAGAACATGGTGAGCACTGATAGCAGGCAAGAAGATATCAAAGTTTGTAACTAGATGTAGGGAGGTATACTTTGTAACTTCTTCCAGGCAGGGAGATATCAAAGAGATGTAGGGAGGTATAGTTTGTAACTTCTTCCAGGCAGGCAGGAGATATCAAAGAGATGTAGGGAGGTATAGCTTGTAACTTCTTCCAGGCAAGAAGATATCAAAGAGATGTAGGGAGGTATAGTTTGTAACTTCTTCCAGGCAGGGAGATATCAAAGAGATGTAGGGAGGTATAGCTTGTAACTTCTTCCAGGCAGGGAGATATCAAAGAGATGTAGGGAGGTATAGTTAGTAACTTCTTCCAGGCAGGGAGATATCAAAGAGATGTAGGGAGGTTAGTTTGTAACTTCTTCCAGGCAGGAGATATCAAAGAGATGTAGGGAGGTATAGTTTGTAACTTCTTCCAGGCAGGAAGATATCAAAGAGATGTAGGGAGGTATAGTTTGTAACTTCTTCCAGGCAGGGAGATATCAAAGAGATGTAGGGAGGTATAGCTTGTAACTTCTTCCAGGCAGGGAGATATCAAAGAGATGTAGGGAGGTATAGTTTGTAACTTCTTCCAGGCAGGGAGATATCAAAGAGATGTAGGGAGGTATAGTTTGCATCCTATGGATACCTAACTTGCGGAATTAAGCTCTCTGGGGAAAGTCATAAAAACAGTTATATAACCCTTCTGTTGTCTGTAAATAGTCTGCAATGCAAACAAAAAATGTGGACTGTCATGAAAATTTTGGGTTTTTGAAGGAGAAACTTATGGTATACAAATATGGTGTACAAATACAACAATTGTCACACATGACAACAGCCTCCAGACTACAGTATCTACAGGTGACACTAACTCGCTGGAACTCACTCACTCCTGATTACAACTCAGCAAGGGATGATGATACTTACTTGAGCTCCTAGTGGGTGACTCAAATATGGAGGCATCAGTAGATGGCGCTACTCGGGAGCAGTCCAGCGTTTCCACAACAGCTCGTGCCTTCACGTCCCAACGATACACCATCACACCTGCACAGGTAGAAGAAGTTAACACAGAAAACAGTGCGCTCACTCTGAAGTATTCGGATATACAGGTCTTATTTAATCCTTTTACACTTTATTACAGTGAAACCTTGAACATCTTTGCATCTGATGATGTAAAAAATTGTCAGATGTTGAGGCAATCCGATTAAATCATTTTGTGTAAAGACTGGTGAGTATGAGCTTTGAAGTATCAAAGTTTGGCTGATACTGACAAAAGCAGCATGTAAGAATCCACAATATCTTACCTGGGTAGACATACGACCATACAAGCGTTTCATCAGACCCGGGGATATTGGCAGCTACCAGGAACTTGCAGCACTTATTGGGTGCCATGGGTTCTGGGTGACTGATTGTCTCCAGGATCTGGTGTTCATGTACATCCCACAGGCTGATCTTGCCACCATCCTGACCCAGCCATATCTCATACCTGCAATAACAATATACACTTGTCTGTACACAAGGTTGTCACACCAGCCTGTACTCAACATCTTGTATAGTGAAATTGAATGACCTGCCCAGTCACCCTTCTAGTATCTATCTGTACACCCTCTCATACACATACCATTCCTTCCACCATCCCCACACACTGCGCCACTCCCAGCACCCACCTGTAAAAACGCTCACCTATTCCAATTCCAGCATGTACCTGTCACCCTCCCAACACTCACCTATCCTCCAAACACTTACCTGTCCCTTCAAAACACCTTACCTGTGCTCCTCCCAGCATCCACCTGTCCTCCAAGCACCTACCTGTCCCCTCAAAACATCCACCTGTTCCCATCCCATCACCCCCATGTGCCTTTCACAGCACCCACCTGTCCTGTGCCAAAACCAACTTTTGCCTCTCCAAACACCCAACTGTTGTCCCCCCAGAACCAACCTGTGCCCCTCCTAACACACACCTGTTTCCACCTACATGTCCCCGTCCCAGCACGCACGTCCCAACATCCACACAACATCCACCTGTCCCCCTCTGAACACCTACCTGTCCCCCTCCCAGCACCTACCTGTCCCCCCTCCCAGTACTCACCTGTCCCCCATCTTGATGCAGCAGGAGCTGTAACTCTTCACTGCCTGGAACACGTCAGTGTGGGAGTCAGACAGTGGACCTGGCTGCGGCTGGTTCCTCACAAATATCTGGCCATTCTTCAGTGTGACAATGATGGCAGGTTCAGTTGGGACGTAGTAGAGGCCATGAACTTGGGGGACCATCATCACTGGCAGCTTGAAGGAGTGTACGAGCTGTTGACTCTCTGAGCTGGGGACAAGCAAACAGTCTTACAGGGATACCTAGATATATCAGTAACACCTATTATTTCAAAGGATCAGCCCCCAACACAAGTACCAGCAGGATTATGAAGACTTGGCTAACCTGATCCCAGGCTTATGAAGATTTAGCTCACCTGAACAGAAGCTTATGGAGACTTAGCTCACCTGATTATGGGTTTAAGAAGACTTATCTCACCTGAACACAGGCTTAGGAAGACTTTGCTCACCTGAAAATGGGCTTATGAAGACTTAGCTCACCTGAACATGGGTTTAAGAAGACTTAGCTCACCTGAACACCTTTATGAAGACTAAGCTCACCTGAACACATGCTCATGATGAACTTAGCTCACCTGAACATGGGCTTATGAAGACTTAGCTAACCTGAACACATGTTTATGAAGACTTAGCTCACCTGAACGAAGGTTTATGAAAACTTATCTCACCTGAAAACATGCTTACAATGGACCTAGCTCACTTGAACATGGGCTTATTAAGACGTAGCTTACCTGAACACATGTTGATGAAGACTTATCTCACCTGAACACATGCTTATGAAAACTCAGCTCACATGAACACAGGCTTATGAAGGCTTAGCTCACCTGAACACCATGACATTTCCCTGTGCATCCACACACCACACATAGCTGTTGATGACTGACATGGCCGTCACTTCTGCTCCTGGCAGCGGGATCGTCTGAAAGGTTATCACAAATACTGGGTACATGTGTCAGTAGTGAATATAAGTCATTACTGGGTATATGTGTCAGTAGTGAATATAAGTCAATGCTGGGTATATGTGTCAGTAGTGAATATAAGTCAATGCTGGGTATATGTGTCAGTAGTGATATAAGTCAGTGCTGGGTATATGTGTCAGTAGTGAATATAAGTCAATGCTGGGTATATGTGTCAGTAGTGAATATAAGTCAATACTGGGTATATGTGTCAGTAGTGATATAAGTCAATACTGGGTATATGTGTCAGTAGTGAATATAAGTCAATACTGGGTATATGTGTCAGTAGTGAATATAAGTCAATACTGTGAATAGGTTAATGCTTGCATACAGGCTGACGCATGAGAGGATCTTTCGTATTTCCACACAATCTGTACTTTGATGGAGAGCAGTCACATAATAAAGTGCAACAAACACTCAATAATCAACCTTCGTGTTTGAGCCCCCTCACCTTGCTATCAACACAATGGCTCCAGCGGTCGTAAGACAGGATGTCGATGTAGTATCGTGGGCCAAGACAGGCACTGAGCCAGATCTGAGCACGTGTTTCGGGTTCTGACTGCGAGCTGTTTGACAGCAGCTCTGGGTCGATGCCAGGAGATCCAGGAGTGGAGGCACCTACCACCGCAACCAAGGGAGAAATCATTGATCACCTTTGTAATATTCTTTATTTAATGAATATATTTTTATGTAATTGAAGATTGAATGCTTTACCTTCTTATGCTTACCTGATATTTGGGGAGATATGCTTTAAGTTTAATATAAGTGAGCCATACACATGAAAAATGAAAGCGAAAGTCAAATACCCAGAGTAAAGTCGCTGGCGTCCCTGGCAGGGACAGAGCACCCACACATGATCTTTGTTTCCTGGCCGAGGGAGACGACGTCACGCAGATGACAGAACTGGGGGGAGCGGGCTATGGCCAAAATACCCGCTGCTGAGGGACGTTCCTCGGGGTCTTGAGACCAGCTCACTGACATAAGGTCAAGGATACAGGAAGGGTACAGGTTCACTTCCTGTGAAACAGATGTCAACAGTTCAGAATGTTACTGATGTTGACCATATTTCAAATAGACTGATAGTGACATCGCATCATCACTAGTCAATCACCTGGAAATACTGGTGTGAAGTGTAATAGCGCTATAAGCCTATTTGCAGTCAGCTAATGAAATGAGACAATCTAAAATTCATGCAAGTCATTAATGAATCATAAAACTTTTTGTTTATTGCATAGAGTGATGTTTCAGTGTAGCTTGATAATCTATGTCGCAATAAACAAGAAGTTGTTATCCATAAAGTTGTATGCTTCATTATTGACTCACCAACTTCTAGACTACCCATCCAACAAAACATGCCAGTCAATGAGACCTACTCCTTAATGAACTTTGTACAATTTTGCTGATAATGAAGAAAAGTGCTGAGTAGATGTACACAAGGCAGTAGCATATATTGAAGTGTTTGTGAAATGAGATTTGAGCTCTCATTGGCCAGCACATTCATTGGGTTCCCCTCTAAGGAACTATGCCATGCAATATTCATTGGTTAAAAATAGCAACTACATCACAGATTGGTTGTTTGCATTCACAAGACATGGTGTATTCAAACCTGTGAACCACTGACTACGAGTACATTAAACTCTCAAACCTCATGAAACATTTAACACCTTAACTGATGATGTATTGAGGTCACGACTCGTCCCAAGTTGTCTACTTTTTTGCAAGATGCTACTTAAAACTGTCTTTGAAATACACTGTCTTGTCAATCACTTAATTGTCTGTTCTAGACTCTGTGTTATACATCATCACATAGCGGGTATATGGCTGGAGTGCAGCATCAGCCATGTGGTCTACATGGAAGCTCCCCAACATCTAGCTGCGGCACACGTACCTGTGTTGTGATGCTTGGTCGACTGCCCTGACACACCAGAGTGCTTGGGTTGTTCACGTCGCTGAATGGCTGGCGACATGTGATCAGCTCAAACATACACATCCCAAATGAGAAAATGTCCACCTACAGGAAGAAAGGGATTCTTCTTTAAGTATAAACATCCAAATTGATGTTGTCATTAGACTATGATCTACAAGAAGAAAACATAATAAAATAGTAACCAAGTGACAAATCAGCGTGCCAGAGCTATAGATTTTGTCCAGAAGTTGCGAGAGGGTGACAGACTGGTGTTTCAATGTCCCTTTCTATAATATATATAGTGCTTGCATGTTATGCTCCGGACTGATACAGGCTTCTTCCTATGGCTAATGGGGTGGTGGGGTAGCCTAGTGTACCCTCGGAACACGGGCCCTGGGTTCCATTCTTAAAATGGTTATAATGTTTGCTACCCCCACTCATTTCTGCTAGCCCCACCCATTTCTGCTAGCCCCACCCATTTCTGCTACCCCACCCATTTCTGCTACCCCCACCCATTTCTGCTATCTCCACCCATTTCTGCTACACCCACCCATTTCTGCTAGCCCCACCAATTTCTGCTAGCCCCACCCATTTCTGCTATCTCCACCCATTTCTGCTAGCCCCACCCATTTCTGCTAGCCCCACCCATTTCTGTTACCCCACCCATTTTGCTACCCCCACCCATTTCTGCTATCCCCACCCATTTCTGCTACACCCACCCATTTCTGCTACCTCCACCCATTTCTGCTAGCCCCACCACCCCACTCATTTCTGCTATCTCCACCCATTTCTGCTACCCCCACCTGCTAGCCCCATTCATTTCTGCTAGCCCCACCCATTTCTGCTATCTCCACCCATTTCTGCTAGCCCCCATTTCTGCTAGCCCCACCCATTTCTGCTACCTCCATCCGCTTCTGCTAGCCCCATTTCTGCTAGCACCCATTTCTGCTAGCCCCACCCATTTCTGCTAGCCCCACCAATTTCTGCTATCTCCACCCATTTCTGCTACCCCCACCATTTCTGCTATCTCCACCCATTTCTGCTACCTCCACCCATTTCTGCTAGCCCCACCCATTTCTGCTATCTCCACCCATTTCTGCTAGCCCCACCCATTTCTGCTAGCCCCACTCATTTCTGCTAGTCCCAGACATTCTGCTATCTCCAGCCATTTCTGCTAGCCCCACCCATTTCTGCTATCTCCACCCATTTCTGCTAGCCCCAGCCATTTCTGCTAGCCCCACTCATTTCTGCTAGCCCCACCCATTTCTGCTACCCCCACCAATGAGAGTTTTTAAATATATCAGCACCTGTGTCTCCAACTCTTGTTGCAGATTATTCCCATTGACTGAGATGTGTATCTACAGTTCATCCTGCAAACAGGGTTCTAAATACAATGGGTTCCCTGTGATATATCAAAGATATAAATTCCTGGAGATTCCACGTTTGAACTGGTCACTTGCAGCCTACATTGGTCATGCGACTAAATGGATCAGGTGGTCATGCTTGTTTGCTTGGGTAATTGTCATCGTACCCTGACCGAATGAATTGTTTCTCTGAATAACAATCAATGGATTGTCTCGTCCAGACTGGTCCATTATTTATGGGCTGCAGTCATACAACTGGAATATTGCTGATTGTGGTGTTAAATAACAAACAAATCATAGATATATATTACTATCATCCAGAGCTATAGATCTAAGATTCAGGGCGTGTACCTTCTCGGTGTAAGTGTCCTTCCCAGCATGCTGCAGTATTTCCGGCGCAATGAAGGGTGGTGTCCCTCCAAAGCCTTTAGCACCAGTGGGCATGACGCTACGACTTATCCCGTAGTCTGCCAGCTTCACATCAACAGGTGACACAGAGCTGGCCTCTGGTGACAGGGGTAGTGACCACACCAGTATGTTCTCCGACTTGAGGTCACGGTAGATGATGTTGCGGTCATGGAGGTAAGCCAGAGCTTGAGCCACCTGGAAATAATGTCTTGATAATTATGATTATGTACGTTGTAGCCCCTGGTAATACACTGTCGTCACAAGTTCCCCTTAGTGATATAATGCACCATTAGTCGCACACTGACATCAGTCCCTAGTTTATTGTAATTACACACTGACATTAAAGCAAGCTAAGTTGGGGTCAATCTGCAGCCCCAGCAAGTTGGATGCAACTCCTAGAAAACCCACTTGTCTAACAACCCAAACATGAATCTGTGTATGAATCTAACCGATAATGAATACCCAAGTTACACTAAGCACAATGTCTAGAGCATGACTAGACAAGCATCAGCTTGTGGACTAACCTGCACAATGATTTGTCTGATAACAAACAGGGGAAGTCTGCGTCCCGTCTCATCCAACATCTTGAGTGATGAATCTAGGGAACCATGGGGAGCCAGACTTAGGATGAGGGACAGTGGTCTGGTTGCCAGACCCAGCATGGGAACAATGTTTGGGTGAGAGATACTCTCCAGGATGGATATCTCTTGTCTGGCCGTGAGGTATGCTTGGCACGCACGGTCCATCCGACTCTCAATACTCTGTGAAGAACCATGGTATATTTGATGATTAGGCAACAGACGGACTTTTATGGTGTGAAAGCAATCTCAGTATATACAACAGTTTGAGTTGTGTGGTGAACACAAAACCAGCAGATATAGTTAAAGAAGATAAGACTCTGTACCTGTCGCTTCTGTTTGGCTTCTTCTCGAGTCCCATTAAACAGAACCTTCACTGCCACTGGTATGGCGGGCTCCTCACCCTGTACACAAAACATTTACAATGATTCTACCATGAGCTCCTTGTAGTAGTTACTGGTTGAGACTACAAATTGTATCAATAATCAAGTCCTCTCTGACATTAATTGTGTCTTAAATACAATTACAACAAACTACAGAATTCCTCACATCACAGCAACACAATAAAGCAAATAAAATAATAAAAGGATACCATAAAAACTTTAAAACTATTTCATACCCCTTGACCAAATACTTAACAAAACAGCCAGCAAATACTGATTTACAAACCTTCTTGAAGAGGTTTCCAGCAAACACCTTCCCAAAGGTGCCTTTGCCAAGTTCCCGTCCAATGTCCAGTCTGTCTGTCTCAGTGACCAGCAGCTCTCTGTCTACATCACGGAAACCCTGACAGGCACATTGCAAGTATCATTACTCATCCTGAAGATGCCATTGTCATTTAAACATAAAACTCCAGGTCATATAAAAACTAGCTAAATTCTCAACTGAACCTGTAACCCATCTATGTATAACTCCCATCAATCAGCAGAAACTCCATAAGCCTCCTTATGACAATATGGACAGGATTTATTATAGAAATGGATTCTGTTTGATTTGCCTTTGTGATAAATCAAAACATCAAGAACAAGTTATGATATTTATACCACACTGCACCAGATTCCATATTGTCCACAGCCCTAGTCAATCTTAATACTTATGTCATCAAAACTCCCATACATTGAGGGACCATATCAAAAGTTCAATGTAGGATAATGAACTCAATGTTTTGAGACATACTCCCCTTCTCCCCCAAACTTTAACTATGTGCATGAGTGCACTAATCCAAAGGCCACGGTTTAAGCACACTATGTGGTATAATCATTTAATGGATGGGACTGAGCTCCTCACCAGGTCAGGGGCAACGAAGAAGGTGTAGCTCTGTCCCTGGTCACCAAGGAGGTGGGCAGGTGATACACTGGCATGGACAGGGCAGCAGATGTTCACACCCTCCATCATGTCCAGCATGCATCGCTCCACCAGGTGGCTGTAGATGATGGCTTCTGTCTCCTGGCGCCGATGTGCTCGGTCAAATATGATTGCCTGTCCTGTCTGAAGTCTACATTAAAAAGATGATTGAGAAATAAAGTTTTGCAAGCAAATTTTCAGCCTTATACCATAGTTACAATATGTGTATTTTATAATAAATATTGTCTAAGGTGATCAGAATTGTTCAGATCTTTAATGACACTACGATGCATTATCTAGCTTGGACTGATAACTTGATATACATATTTGCCAGGCATCAAGGACTTAAGGACTCTGGGTTTGTCTTTAAAAACATTCCTTGAACTTAATCCATCTGAAATAGTGCAATTCAATATTATTTATTGTAAATGTGTACCAGAAACGAATGTATGGGCTTCATACTTTGATTAAAAGACCTTCAAAATCATCTGACCTTGACCTGTCTTCTGCTTGACCTCCACCAGGTGACTCTGACTCCTCCCCATCCTCATCCTCATTCTCTTCATCCACTTCTACCACGGGTGGCGCGCCCCCTGGCTGATGAAGATGGATGAACACTGGTTTGGCACCTCAGGGTTCATCCAAAACCATGCATCATGATCTAGATCAGAATGCATTTTACGCTGTCTTTGAACTTCTGAGTAAAGGCACTGAGGACAGAGCACAATCCGTGTGATGAGGTATCGGCCCTCACAGTTCTGGGTGAATCTGACCTCACCAATCTCGGGGTACCAGTCCTGGAGGAGATTGTCAATGTGCTCAATGAGCTTGCCCAAGAGTTTAGCTGCAGCGGAGTCATCCCTGAATAGAGTGGTTCTGTTTGTGGGGTCAAGAGTCTGTATCTGGGTCCTGCTTTGTTGGTGAGATGGAAGGTAAGGCTGTCTGTTGGTAATGAGATTTCTAGAATCTTGCTGTTCAACACATCAAGGAAAGACCACTCTGACTCCACATTGCACTTCAGGCGACACTGCGTGTAGTCACAGAAGCCCATTGTGGAGTCAGAGAGGACCTCGCGGATACGGAGCATCTCAAATCCAAGATGGTTGAGGATGAGACCTGTCTGCCAACATCGCCACTCAGGCTCTGTGTCGAACAAGGTCTTCATTCCTGGGCTCCGTTGCATCAACTCCTCAGGGAGCTTGAACAGACTCATGGCGAAGTGGTACAATGAAGAGTCTGCTAGAACCCGCGTGATGAGTCTTGGCCAGAACCCACTTGGAAAGTAGGTCATGAAATACAGACGACAGAAGGAGAAGATTGGGTTACTTGTGGCCTTGACTCCAAGAAGCAGAAGGTCACATGAGTCAGGTCGACCAGTTGATTCGTCAAAATGCTGGGGACCAGAATAAAATGTAGATTTTCCAACAGTCAGCGTCTTCACACTATCTGGTCTAACATACACCACATCAGTTGTGAAAGGCTTTGACCTTCGTTTGACTTGAGTGTTTTCATCCTCTGGTCTCCTCAGAGGAATCTGAAATTCAGACACACAATTCTTTTTACAGGTACCTCTGTAAGGTATGGTTAGGATGTCATTCTTACAAGGCATTGCCCAGTTCCATGAACCATGGTAATATCCTAATTATGATCCTGATACAGGTATCTGAGAGCAGGCCAGAAACCTACGATCGCAGGTTCAAATGCCAGTTTGTTTTGACTTAGGTTTGTCATGACAATTCCCCACAGTGCTGACTGTCGGAGACCTGCATCACTTCAGGCTTTCCTCTCACATTAAGCTAGCACACCACACTAGAACTGAAATTTGTCCAACCAAACTCACTCTCTCCTTACCAGCCTAACCACTATTTCCATATATAAACCTTGATAGTTCTGTTATGAGGAGCTGTAGTGACAAGCCACCAGCATGTCTGAATCACACTTTCGTCTACCATCTTAGTTGTGTACCTACCCTGACATCACACTTCTTCTCCACACTGACTAGCTGTGTACCTACCCTGACATCACACTTCTTCTCCACACTGACTAGCTGTGTACCTACCCTGACATCACACTTCTTCTCCACACTGACTAGCTGTGTACCTACCCTGACATCACACTTCTTCTCCACACTGACTAGCTGTGTACCTACCCTGACATCACACTTCTTCTCCCACACTGACTAGCTGTGTACCTACCCTGACATCACACTTCTTCTCCACACTGACTAGCTGTGTCACACCTACCCTGACATCATCACTTCTTCTCCACACTGACTAGCTTGTACCTACCCTACATCACACTTCTTCTCCCTGACATCTGTGTACCCTTCTTCTTCTCCACACTGACTTGCTGTGTACCTACCCTGACATCACACTTCTTCTCCACACTGACTAGCTGTGTACCTACCCTGACATCACACTTCTTCTCCACACTGACTAGCTGTGTACCTACCCTGACATCACACTTCTTCTCCACACTGACTTGCAGGTCTTCCTCTGTAGGCAGCAGTGACGGCAAGAGGAGGTTCTCATCATCGAACTGCAGTGCCACTTCAAATTTGTTCAGCAAGCTTGTGATGTCTCGCTGGATGTCCATTGGCTGTAGGGAGTTCTTGAACAACATCTCTAGATTCTTGATCTTCATGATGCCTACAAACACAAGATTACAGACTCTGCAAAACTTGAAAAATAAAACATGGTTCCTCTTTAACTCCAAACTTTCTTTTTGTCCAGGTCAGAATCATAGAACTAAATTCACAAAGGTGACTTCAAGGTGGTTTGGTGGCAATATGCATTCTCCATCCTTGGTTTAATTATCCAGACCAAAGCCTTACTAATTGGTTTCATGAAAGTTGTACAACATCTACACATCTGTACCTCTGGAAGCAAATCTGTTAATCTCCTTGATGGTGACAACCTTTGCAAGCTGGTCACAGAGCCATTGAGGATCGAGGAAGTAGAGATCCTTCAGAGAGAGGTCCTCATAGTGAAACAGAACACCTGGAAGACAGAATGAAGACAGAGCAGGTATAAGTTTCAGAACTACTTCAAGAAAGCCTCCTCATGCTAGGATCCAATAGTCTACAAATCTCAGGGAGAGAAATTAAACAAAGTTTACAACCCTTTCAAGGTTCACCTATAGACCATTCCAGGAAAGCCTATTAATGTTGCAAAGTTAATTTTAAACTAGATTGTCACAAGAGTGTACGACATTTTTTACAGGGGCCTTAACAGTTATGAAGTAGTTTTACAATGTTGTTTCTCTAAGAAGTTTTTATGAAATGGCACACTCGATTAATTCATCACTGTACAAGGGGCACTGGTAGCCCTTTCATCCAAGATGCCACATATGCTGTGTATAGCTGATATGTTTATAGGCTTGCCTCACTTATGTTTCTAGTCTTGCCAGCTCCATACCTGCATCAATTTAGGCTGAATTCCCACATCAGCTCACATACAAAGAAAACATTGCAACACAAATTTTCAATAGTATAACGTGTCAAAGTCAACTCCTATACTCAAATATTTGATTTCATACATTTGATACAAATTGGCAAATTACAACAGAGAAATTTCCACATTCCTTGTGGAGTTTGTATCAAATACCACAAATATTAAAATGGCTCACCATTTTCATGCAGGAATCTTGTTGCTTGTTCTAACTCTTCTACATCTCTGAAAGTTGTGCCGGTCTCCATCATCTTGTTCGATACACATAGCCTGCCAACAAAGTTTCAGTCAATATCAACCATCAAACATACAAGGTTTCAGTCATTATCAACCACCAGACATACAAGGTTTCAGTCATTATTAATTATTAAACATACAAGATTTCAGTCATTATCAACCATCAGACATACAAGGTTTCAGTCATTATTAATTATTAAACATACAAGATTTCAGTCATTATCAACCATCAGACATACAAGGTTTCAGTCAATATCAACCACCAGACATACAAGGTTTCAGTCATTATTAATTATTAAACATACAAGATTTCAGTCATTATCAACCATCAGACATACAAGGTTTCAGTCATTATTAATTATTAAACATACAAGATTTCAGTCATTATCAACCATCAGACATACAAGGTTTCAGTCATTATTAATTATTAAACATACAAGATTTCAGTCATTATCAACCATCAGACATACAAGGTTTCAGTCATTATTAATTATTAAACATACAAGGTTTCAGTCATTATCAACCATCAAACATACAAGGTTTCAGTCATTATCAACCATCAAACATACAAGGTTTCAGTCATTATCAATTATTAAACATACAAGGTTTCAGTCAATATCAACCATCAAACATTCAAGGTTTCAGTCATTATCAACCATTAAACATACAAGGTTTCAGTCAATATCAACCATCAAACATACAAGGTTTCAGTCATCATCAACCATCAAACATACAAGGTTTCAGTTCATCAGGTTTCAGTCATTATCAATCATCAAACATACAAGGTTTCAGTCATTATCAACCATCAAACATACAAGGTTTCAGTCAATATCAACCATCAAACATACAAGGTTTCAGTCATTATCAGCCATCAAACATACATGGTTTCAGTCAATATCAACCATCAAACATACAAGTAAAGATGCAGTTTTCAAAGCAGAGCTATTTATCCACTAGGAGAGGACCAAACGGAACTTGTAACAAAACACCTGTCATGTTATTGAGACTTCCCATTGGCCAATCATGAAAGTCCCAGTTCTGTTCTGCTGCAGGACTAATTCTGGTACACCTTGGGCCAGGACTTTCTAGACTCTGAGGAGGGGTAAGTTAAAAAGTAAACTGATTTCCCTAATAATTGTCTACATAGTTAACTGCTGTAGATGCATTCAGCTATTTCTGCCAAACATATAGATTTTGAATCTTTGTAATATGACGCTGCTCATAAAGACTCACATGTACTTGGACTTGGAGAGGACAGGCTCCTTGTTGTCATAGTGACGCTCCTGAGCCAGCTCCATCACCACATTCTGCAGCAGCAGATACTTCTTGGGGATCTTTTGCTTCAGCAGCTTCTGGGTCCGGGAACCTGACGCATGATACACCGTGATCACTGAGGCATTCAGTCAATCGAGTCATTCAAACAACTGGGTGGGTGATCACAGTTTGATGTCAGTGATGACCAGTGTGGATAACTGAGGTCACTGAGGCATTCAGTCAATCAAGTCATTAAAACAACTGGGTGGGTGATCACAGTTTGATGTCAGTGATGACCAGTATGGATAACTGAGGTCTCATAGGCATTCAGTCAATCAAGTCATTAAAACAACTGGGTGGGTGATCACAGTTTGATGTCAGTGATGACCAGTATGGATAACTGAGGTCACTGAGGCATTCAGTCTATCAAGTCATTAAAACAACTGGGTGGGTGATCACAGTTTGATGTCAGTGATGACCAGTATGGATAACTGAGGTCTCATAGGCATTCAGTCAATCAAGTCATTAAAACAACTGGGTGGGTGTTGTTTAATGTGATGACCAGTATGGATAACTGAGGTCACTGAGGCATTCAGTCAATCAAGTCATTAAAACAACTGGGTGGGTGATCACAGTTTGATGTCAGTGATGACCAGTATAGATAACTGAGGTCACTGAGGCATTCAGTCAATCAAGTCATTATAAAAAACTGGGTGGGTGATCACAGTTTGATGTCAGTGATGACCAGTATGGATAACTGAGGTCACTGAGGCATTCAGTCAATCAAGTCATTAAAACAACTGGGTTGGTGATCACAGTTTGATGTCAGTGATGACCAGTATGGATAACTGAGGTCACTGAGGCATTCAGTCAATCAAGTCATTAAAACAACTGGGTGGGTGATCACAGTTTGATGTCAGTGATGACCAGTACGGATAACTGAGGTCACTGAGGCATTCAGTCTATCAAGTCATTAAAACAACTGGGTGGGTGATCACAGTTTGATGTCAGTGATGACCAGTATGGATAACTGAGGTCACTGAGGCATTCAGTCAATCAAGTCATTAAAACAACTGGGTGGGTGATCACAGTTTGATGTCAGTGATGACCAGTATGGATAACTGAGGTCACTGAGGCATTCAGTCAATCAAGTCATTATAAAAAACTGGGTGGGTGATCACAGTTTGATGTCAGTGATGACCAGTATGGATAACTGAGGTCACTGAGGCATTCAGTCAATCAAGTCATTATAAAAAACTGGGTGGGTGATCACAGTTTGATGTCAGTGATGACCAGTATGGATAACTGAGGTCACTGAGGCATTCAGTCAATCAAGTCATTGATACAACTGGGTGGATGATCACAGTTTGATGTCAGTGATGACCAGTACGGATAACTGAGGTCACTGAGGCATTCAGTCAATCAAGTAATTAATACAACTGGGTGGGTGATCACAGTTTGATGTCAGTGATGACCAGTATGGATAACTGAGGTCACTGAGGCATTCAGTCAATGTCATTCAAGAAACTGAGTAAGTGATGATAGATCTCATATTCAAGCCATACCACTTCTAAGGAAACCTTGGTTGACAATTTGTACCCAGCAGACTATAATCTAGATATTTCAAACACCCAGCAAGATTCACATCCCAGGATGAAGGTACAGATACATGCAGCTGCTAGTGTGTCCGAGTGTGGATACAGCTGTCTGGAACTGTATCTATGACTTCCTATGTAGGGTCTTCAGCTGATGCAGGGTCAGGCAGATCACATTCTACGACGCACTGCTTCGCTAGATGTACTGAACAGAACGGATGCTGTAATAACACAATATCATTTTGAAGTTAACTGAGAAAGCAGCATGTACTACTTACGGGGATGTTTGAGGTCGAAAGCATGGTTGTAGATCATGTCCACAAGCTTGGACACATTTTTGCCAGACTTGCAGCTGACATTGATGGTGTCCAGGATGTTGGGAAGCCCACACTTTTCTGGCTCCTTGACCAGGATGAAGTTCTTCTGCACCAGCCCCATCATTGCCTCCTCGAAGTCCTCTGGGTAGCTCTTTCTGGTGGCACGGTCCTCCAGCTTGTCTAGGTGGGTGCCGATGATGATCACTGGGGCTCCAGGGGCTCGGGCCTGGCAATCAGGGAGTGGGTGAGAGAAATTGTATCTTAAAGAGTATTTCAGTTATGTCATGGCAAGTGAATGTCATGTGAGATGACAGTCTGAATTGACAGGGTTCACAGGTTTGTACCATTTTGATATAATACCGTATACCGGGAAATTTTCAAGGTACTAAAATTTCGAGGTTTGAGACCCCCAGAGCTTTCGAGGTGATATAAATTTCGAGGTTTGGGGGCCTAAAATATATAAATATTTTAGACAATTTTAATTTCGAGGTTTAATAGAAGAAAGTGGCCAGAAACATGACGTACCGGACCAATACTCACTGAGCTATCGGCAAAACTCCTAGTAGCCAGTGGTAACTGCCGTCTGACTGTTATAATTACCGGTATACCAGTCCATGGCAGAAATAATAGTAATGAAAACAACCCTTTGATCCTTTGTTGTGATAAATGACCCATGAAACACTCTGTCGGGCGGTTCAAACATGACGCCATTTTTTCTCAGACGATATTGGGTTTTTAACAACTAACTATAAGCATGTATGCATGGGTCTCTGCTGAAACTATGTTGTTGTTAGAAAGCTGACAAGTTGACCTCTTTAGCTTAAACTGACCAACTGCACGGATGCCTTACAGCTCCAGGATGTTTGTGTAAACAAGCCCCTTAAAGACGCCAAGATTCATCAAACCTGGCATCGCCGATGCAGTCCGTTTGGCCAGAGAGTGACATCGAAAGTGTATTGACAGTTGGTTTGACTTTACATGTAAGACACTGATTGAATTACATATTTTTGTAATGCATGTTATTCTGGACCAACAATTACAACACAATTAAATAGTCTCGACACCGCATTTCTGTTGTTTGTTTATTCAGGCCGTTCAGGTTCACTGAACGTTAAGATTAGTTGTAGACAGGCATTACAGAGTTACTGCGCATGTCAGGAAGTCATTGGTTGCCAGCAGTTGAAATGCTTATCGATAGGAAATCCAACCCAAAGGTTTGAAGTTCGGAAAAATTCATGGATATAATATTTTCAAGGTTGCGTTTCCAACCTCGAAAACCTCGAAAATTAGATACCTCGAAAATTTCCCGGTATACGGTATTGGGTATTATGCTGATACACCAATCACCATAACTGGGTCTCACCTAGGCCTCAAATGGTCATAGGATCCTGTCACATGAAGGGACAGAACTATGCAGAGGGAATGGAACCACCTTAGTCCTGATCATAATATTTCATGGTGGCACAAACACAAGAAAAACGATTGCCTGCTAAACCCTTCACATTTACATTTTTCTCAAAGAACTATTTGAATATAGTGAACTATATTCACTGACAAAATGTATATTGTATCACTGATAACTATAGTCACAGTTGTTCATGACTCACCTGAATGTTAACGAGCCACTGCAGCAAACTGTCCACACCTTTAGGCCCATGTGTGAGGTTCCACAGAACCAGGTACAGCGACCTCGGCGACAAGAAGTATTGATGGGTGGCGTAGTACTCGCGCTACATGAAAGGAGAAAACAGCCAGGAGTTAGATAACACATTTCAGTTCCAGTTAGCAATAAAAGCCAAGGACATATAAAGCATTCACTATTTTCTACAAAGCAATATCACCACAAACTTGCGATCAATGGAAACATGTGACCAATGCAGTACAATTTTGATACAGAAACCTATCTGACTCTACCTTAAAAACAACATTCAGTTCAGCAATGATGTTACAAGCATGAAGTCATGAAGAATTCTATTCATGAGTGAATGACCTTTCACAGTTGTCTAATCATGATTTTTCTGGTAATGACTCACCTGTCCACCAAAATCCCACGTACGGAAATGCACTGCACCCTTTGACCTTCGGTCAATGACCAGTTGGCTGATGTCAATGCCGACTGTGGATAACGTCTGACCTCGAGGACGTGTGGCATCCGGCGTGTTGCTCACCCGATCCTTCCAGTGCTGTAGGCAGACATTTTGCTCTATCATATGGATCTAATAAGCTGTGTGATGAGATAACCCTCCTTTCGTAGACCCCAAAACATGCATCATGGGAAATTATGGAAGTACAATAAGGAAACTACAACAATCAGCCGGTGGTAATACAAATGCATGACTAATGAACTGAATCACTGGAAACACACTTGTCAAGATGTGGATCACATCACTAGTCAATTGCATCTGTTTAGCAAAATTGTCCATAAATACAAAAAATGAAAAACAAATGCCCTGTTTCACATTTCTCAGATATTTAGATGGAAATGCAATAATTATTTTTTGATGCCACGTGACCAATGTCCCCCAGAGAGGTCCCCCTCAGCGGAACCCCTATGCCCTTACAGTAGCTATGCTGGGCATCTTGCCCTCCTTGTTGAGCCGCTGTAGTAGGGACGTCTTCCCGATCTCGTGGGACCCGACTATCATCAGGTTCATACAGTTGTACTCCGTGGATCTACAAGTGAATGAGTGAACAATGTTGAAGTGATCACATGGAAACCGATAATGGTGCATGTCTCAGACTGTTACACCTTAGCTGACACACACAAATATGTAAATTTTCAAGTAAAATTGATATTTTTATACTTATCCTGACTCATGATCTTTTGCTTATCTCCCTTTTCATTTTGAATGGTAGTGGAACACTTGAATCCCTTGAAGTTCCCGAAACGGACGTAAAAATACACTCACCCACGAGTTACCTCCCTTTTGCCCTTTCCAGCGCAAACAGTCATGTGACCAGCCTTACTTGTCACTCTCTCCTGATTTTCTGCCCATGCACTTGGATCTGCTGTGAAATCCAAAGTGGCTTCAGCAGGGAGGTTGGGAGGGCTTCTCGTCATGAGTCAGGATAAGTATAAAAATATCAATTTTACTTGAAAAATTACATATTTTTTCTTATCCTGACTCATGATCCGATGGATTGGTGGTGGGTCAAGCCACTTTGTGGATTCAAGAGCTGTCCTTAGATACGTTCTGTATCTCCCCCATGGGAACTGCGAAACGGCATTTTCTGTGATCCTATTTTTCCAACTTCCGTTATAACTCAGGGGACCACTTTCTTGTCTTACTTCAGTCTCAGACAAGTTGAATCATCTTGATTCATGTGGCTACACTAGTATCTTCCTATTACTAGATATCTTACAACAACCCATAGATTACGATAAGATCTTTATCATAAATGAGTTGCGACCCCTTCACGTACAGGTAAGATCTTTACCCGTACAGGATCTTTAATCACTCATGCTAGTCTGTCCTAGACTGTGCGCATGGACTTTCAAACTAATACTTTTCCTTAGTAAAAGTTATCAACAAGAGAACGTGATAAAGGGTGAGATTTTCCAACTCAGCGCCTTTGAGGAACAGTTAGTTGCTGTGCTACATAGGGGCCCAAATTGGTGAATGCCTGAGACGTCTTCAGTGGCTATGTCTCGGAGGTAGCGGTTGGCAAACACCGTGTCCGACTTCCAAAAGCAGCCCTCTATAATTGCAGATATAGAGCAGTTTCCATGCAATGCCAGTGTTGACACCAGTGCTCTGACTTCATGTGGGTTGGAAGCTCTGTCATCATACAGGTTACGAGTAGATCTGCTTAACGCTAACGTTACTGCCTTGGCTGCCCTGGTGGAGTATCCTCTTTTCTTCAAACATGTTTTGATACGGTCCACACGTGTACCTGGAATGCTGTCGAGTTCCCGTGGACTTACTTGGTGTGCGGATGTATGAGTAGGTTCGGCCAATCTGGTAACTTGATTGTTGGACTTCCGAGATCTTCTATTAGGTCATACTCTTGCTGGCCAGTATGGCGCGACCAAAGTCAGTTGTAGCGCCTGAGTCTGTTTGATTATTCAACAGTACTTCCGGTAGTAATATCGGGGATGGAAATGCGTAAGCGTTTAGTCCTTCCCAAGTTATGCTCAGTGCAAATGTTGCCCAGGCTTGAGGATCTGGAACTGGTGAGACAAAAGTCTGTAGTTGTTTGTTGAACCTCGTGGCAAACAGGTCTATGCAAGGGAATCCTATTTCCCTTATGATGAGCCGGAACGCTACTGGATGGAGCATCCATTCCATAGTAGACGGGTGCAGTGGTCGGGAGAGAGCATCTGCAAGTACGTTCTTGGCTCCGGGTATGTGACAAGCCTTTATCCAGATGTTTGCTTCCTCCGTGATGTGGAACAACTGGAATGTGAGCTGTAGCAGGCTTGGAGACCTTGTGGATCCTTGCCGATTTATGGAGAATGCCACTGTAGAGTTGTCCGTGTGGACCATCAGCATTTTGTTGTTCAGCGAGCTCAACCATAGTTGTGAGGCGTTGATCACGGCTTTCATCTCTAGCAGATTGATGTGAAGATGCTGCTCTATTTTGGACCACCTTCCTGATGCAACTTGATTGTTGAGATGCGCACCCCAGCCTTGTATCAAAGTGTCTGCGTAGAGATGTGTGTCGATGGCCGGCTCTTGTAAATAGGTTCCTCCGCAAACGTTCAACCTGTGTGTCCACCACAGTATAGATACCTCTTGAAGTTGTCTGGCAGCAAGATAGGGTCGATGCTGTCTAGATGTTTTGTCAGGAACCGTTGCAGCGGTCAAAGTTGTAACCTTCCTGTGCGAGTCAAGTCCTGCACCAATAGTAGTAGACCGAGTAGAACTTGCCATGATCGTAGTGTTAACGGAGAGATGACTGCTGGTGGAATCATGGCTTGTATCTTGACCCAATGATCTTCTGGGATGACAATACGGTTCTGTGTTGTGATGAACCTTATCCCCAGAAATTGCAGATCTTGTTTTGGTTCCAACTCTGACTTCATTAGGTTCACCAGCCATCCTAGTTGATTGAGCAACTTGATCGTGAAGTTCAACTGAGTTGACTGGCATCTTGGTGAACCTGAATTCCGTCGTCCAAGTAGAAGGCATTGCGTTGACCTCGATGATGTAGATATGTGACTATAGGCTTGGTTACTCGTGTGAATAGTCACGGAGCCGAATATATTCCAAACGGTAGGATGTTCCATTGGAAGTGCTGACCTCTGAAAAGGAATCGTAGATACTTTCTGGATTCCGGATGTATGGGGATGTGTAGGTACGCATCCTGCAGGTCTATGCTGGCCATGTAATCTGCTGGACGGACGAGTAGTCTGAGTTGAGGTAGGTGGATCATTCTAAACCTGTCTGGTTTCAGTTGAATTTGCGCATGTTGTAAATCAGTCTGAACTTCTCCTTGGAGTTCTTCTTGGGTACTAGAAAAATTGGGGAGTAGAAGCCTGGAGTGAGATGATACTGATCTATTATCTCTACCGCCTCCTTCATAAGTAGTGAGTTGATGGCTTCTTGTAGTTTGTCTGCCTGCTCCTCTGCATAGTCGAAGACCGTCGGGCTGAGGGTTAGGGGAGGTGTGGCCTTGAGTTGTACTCTGTATCCTTCTCATAGTACTTGGTAGACATAGTCGTCCTCTAGTATTCCCCAATTTTTCCAGTACCTTTGTAGACGTCCCCCCACTGTTGATGTTTTACAGGAATGGCTGGGGGTGGAAGACTCCAGTCATTCCGAACCCTGATATCAACGTCTAGTTCCTCTGGATCCTCTGGGAGTGTGGCCTCTCCCTGAGTTTCCTCTGTAATTTCCGGATGGGCGACGAAAAGATCCTTTGCCCTCTCTGAAGCTGGAGTACTTCTTCTCCTTTGCCTTCTGTATGCCGGAATATTTGGACTTGCTGTTATACTTTTGCGAAGTATGACGGATGACGTTGGCCAGAGTATCTATGGATTTTATCTTCCGAACTTGAGTTTTGGAATTTATTTATCAATGCTTCATTGATAGCTCTGGACCTGGCCAACCCGAAGAAGGATCTCCTTGTAGCAGTATCAAGTTGAGATAGCTTTTTATCTTCTACTTTATACATCTTGTTCCGGGAGTCGTTGACTAACTTTATGTTATCATCCCATTCAGGTGCCTTTGTAAATGGATCCATATGATGTAAGGGGAATCTCTTCACATTAAATGATGGCAGATGCTGACTCTGGTACTTGGATGCTTTCGCGAAAGCTGTGCGTAGGTTGGAGGGTACCCTGGATATAGGTTCAATCGGAGGGATAGTGATGGAGTCAAAGTCGTTGTAACACATCAAATAAGTGTAGACTTCATCTTTATCCTTAGAAGGAGACTCCAAGTTCAACTCATTGGCAATCCAAGCTGTAACCTCTGAGTCTGGGAAGACGAAGTCCGCTTGCTCATCCAGTGTGAGCTTTCTCTTCACGAACGTCTGTCGCTAGATGTATCCTTTCGCGAACTTCTGTGATGTGAGCTTTCTCTTCGCGAACGTCTGTCGCTAGATGTATCCCTTGCGAAAGTCTGTGATGTGAGCCTTCTCTTTGCGAACCTCTGTCTCGTGATGAGTGACTTCGCGAACGTCTGTGAGAGATATGAGATCTCGATCTAGAGCGGCTATGTGTAGGAGATGGATCCTTCGATGTTCTCGAACGTTGAGGGTTTCGCAGATGTAGAATGATGAGTAGGCATCTCATGTCTTCTATCCTCCTCCAAGATGACAGAGTCGTCCGAATGTGGAGACCTTCGCAAAGGTGTATGTTCGCCAACGTAGTCTTGAGACGTAGTTCTCCGAGGAGTAGGTTCACACAGGTCGGTAGGTTTGCTCACGGTAGATGAGAGGCTTCGCCGAGCCTTCGCTTCTTCCTCGAACCTGCGTTCCATCATGGTCATCATCTGGTTGGTGAATTGTCCCATAACTACACCCGGGTCAAAATTCTGCGTTGGTTGAAGCTGCTGCGTGTAGAAGAAGTGTTCGCGAATGCTGATGAGTTCTGCGCCTCAACTTCACTCCTTTGAGAAGTAGGTGGTAGTTCGTCAAACAGCTGGCCTGCTGTGACCGTTGCAAGAGACAATCTGGTAGTTGTAGAAGTCGATAGAGTCACTGATCTCGTAGGTACTTCGGGCAGAAGTAACGGGGGGTCATCAAAAACGTCTACTTCATGTGGAGGTAATATCTCTTCGTTGAAGGATTTCTGATGCGTTGACTTACTAGCCCGCGTGATTTTACCCTCCGATCTGGTAACACAGGCTTTCTTCTGCGATGACGTCTTTTCTTAGCTTGAGTCGGAGTCAACTGCGTTGTAGCCGATCTCTTCTTAGCCCCCGTACCAGCAGACTGCCCCTGCAACGTACTCAACATAGCACCAGTATTATGAACTTCAGCAGTAGCAAGCAACATACAGTTTGTAGGCTGATCTCCTGTTTTATCAGCCGTGACTTGAGATGACTTTCTCACCCGATCCATGGCACGTCTATGGATATAAGACAAATATTGATTAATTTGAAGATTTGTTAAATCAACACAATAAGTACAAAGCAAGCTGGAAGAACATGGTTTTATGCACCAAGGGCATAGGGGGTGAGGATCAGCCACGGATAAGCTGTGCCTGCAAAGACTGCAAGATTTCATGAAATGTAAACAAAGTTACATAACAATGAAATTATGACACAAATACAAATAATTTTTACAAAATGTTTACATATAATACAAAGTAGTTATTGCCAAATCCATACACAGCGTAATTTTGAAAAATAAGACCTAAATAAAAAGGATATAATGCCGTATATGGGACTCCAGTGCTCGCCCAACCATCCACTTGGGCGAAAAGGGAGAGAGTGGAAAGTAAGGCTGGTCTCATGACTGTTTGCACGGGAAAGGGTAAAAGGGAGGTAACTCGTGGGTGAGTGTATTTTTACGTCCGCTTCGGGAACTTCAAGGGATTCAAGTGTTCCACTACCATTCGAAAAGAAAAGGGAGATAAGCAAAAGATCATGAGTCAGGATAAGAAAAAATTGAAAAATTCTCTGACAGGATCATAATCAGCATGAACATTGTTAACAACCTGATCATTTATGATGAACTGAAACATCTTTGTTGCTAAAATGTAAATCACTATGTAGATGATCTAACATCAGAAAATGCCAGGTATTTCATCAATGAAACCACAAGAGTACAGTGTGACAGATGTGACACCTCTTTTCAAACTCAGGAGGATTTAACTGGTATATCTGTGACACCATGTAGACATCACTTACTCTTCCAGCACCGAGAGGAGGAAGCCCAGAATGTCCTTCGTTGGGTAGCGGGAAGACTTGATCATGTCTTGAATAGCACCATCAAGGGGACATAACTCTAGCTCCAGCTTCCACAACTTCTTCAACAGACCTAACTTTGGTGGCAGCTGAGAACAGAAGCCAGCAGCGGTGTGACTACACAATAACAAGCCACAACAACAGAGAATAGACATTGCCTTAGTGGCAGAAACACAGTGTAAAGCTAACCTCAGTCCAAAACTACCAATAGAAAGGTCTTTAATTGCCACAAAAAAGACTTGGTGCAAAGAAAACATACTGTACTGAAATGGTACCACAATAATGTTTCAAATGATTGCACATAAGTAGAGTATGTACACACCTCCTTGAGAGGATTACGGTTAAGGGAGAGAACTTTCAGGTTTGTGAGTTCTCCAATGTCTGGAGGAAGACAAGTAAGACTGTTGTAGCTGACATCCAGCTCGCTTATGTTGGGGAACAGAAGGCGGCTCTGGATCTCATCAGACTCCATGCTGAAGTTGGCTGCCTGAAATTACACATAAGTTCTTCTCTGTAATACACCAAATCTGTACATGGGGTAGAGATAAGGCGGATCCACAACTGACATGGCTACATCATGACATCAAAATCATACAATCTGAAAACCATTTGATACAGAATTAAATGCTTGTCCAAGAGCCAGACCACTGATATTTAGTATCTCAGGCAAAAGACTTTCCTGAGCCAACACATAGTTTCACATCTGAAAACCAGCTTCTTACCAGGCACAGTGGTTTAGTTGTCAAATTCTGTCGAAAACTAAATGTTGGCTTTGAAACATTTTCAGACACATAACAGGGCTCGATTTAGTGCTTTGTTACTTGCACTGATGCTAGCCAATATTACAAAGTGCAACCTAGTTATAAGTCTAACTTGCACCAGGTGCAGGTCAATTTTTGAGTGGGTAAACTTCTGAATAAAACATCTTAATAATTCAATAGCATATTCCATTCATTACATAATACCATAAAAGCAGTGCAACTGGAATTTGGCTGGTGCAACCAGGATTTTATCTCAGGTTGCACCTGGTGCAAGTAGGTTAACATCTCTTAAATCGAGCCCTGCATAATTATAGATCATCTGGTTCTAGGACCATGTATTTTGTATTAGAATGGGGGCTCTTTTCTTTATCAGCGAGCACTAGCACTATGGTATTCACTGACAAAACAATCTTTGCATCTTTTAAAGACAAAATCAGTTAACGACTTTACATATCACTATGCTTGTTTTGTGTAATGACGGCAACAACAAAGGCAGAGAGTATACTAACACTGACATCCATGCTGGTTGCATTGATGGTCCGTGCCATCTTGGTGATGACAACACCTCGCAGTTTGTTGTGAGACAGGACGAGTTTCTCCAGGTGAGGAAGCTGCACATGACAACGGTGCGGGCAGTTGGTGGAGGCTGCAGCCTGGAGGGGGGAGAAGCTACTGACGGAGGAGATGGAGGGGGAATGACTGCGTGGGGACATCCGGTATTGCGTTGGGGAGCTGGCACTGCAATGGCAGAAAACTGTCAGAACAAGTCTTTGAGCAGCATTTAGAAGTGATACACAAAAACGCAATTTATAGCTGTCAACTTCTTTATTTTAAGGAACTTTGTGTTCAGAGTACATTGTTATTCCTTCATCAGCTGAATGAAAACACAAGGAAGCAGTGCATGTGAAACACTATCAGTGACAAGACAAAAACAAGGGAAGCTAGTAGAATACAACAGTTTCTACAACATAGTAGTAGGACTGCTGTCAAAAGTGTAAGCTTGATATCATGATCTCACACTCAGATTATCACCATGGAGTTTTGGGGTTAGAGCAGGTGGCTAAACCCAGTGTTTGTTGTACAAGCCATCTGTTGTTGCTCATAATATCAACCGGTGGTTGTTTGTCTGCTTCTCACTAAAGTCTTTACAGGCTGCCACCATATTGCTGCAATATTGCTGGGTGCTTCATTAGAAAAACTCTGATTACACAATGCCATTTAGACACTGGTTCTGTAACATGCGTTATATTTGGGATTACACTTTCTTAGTACACATTCTAGAACTTTTGTTGGGTTGAGCCCAACCAGTAATTTTTAATAATTCTAAATAATGTTTTCCAAATTGTTCAGTTTCAATCAGAACATCTTTCTTTCACGGCCTTCAGTGAAGTTTGTGTATGCTTGTTATTTTTCACAATATCATCTTAACAAATAACATAGTGAATAACCAACATGAAACTCAGAATATTACTTGTTCCTTGTAAATGAATGCTGTGAGTCCCAAACAAAATGCACAAGACATTTATTAATTCAGGACAGATAATTCTTTGTAGCTTGTTCATTATTCTCAAAATGTGTCCAAACTTCTATTTCAGAGTACCATGAAACTGTCATGTGAAAATGCCAAATACAATAACATACATAGAGGTTACCTTTTGCTTAACCCCAAACAATGCTGGTCTTGGAGGGCACTCTGTATCCATGGAAACAGTGATTCAAGTCCAGTTCTGCACAGATTCAGTTCAAGGAGACTTTGGGGCAAATGTCCTAATGGTCCGACGTTGTCCAGCCGATTGTCTGTCATATTGAGAACCTCCAGGTAGGGGGCACAACAAGCCAGACAAGGAGGTACCTCTGTGAACTTATTCCCTGCAATGTTTAAGAGGCGAATACCAGTCTGATTATCATTCATCTTATGCCTGTCAAGGTCAGTGACTGTTAGTCTTTGTCTCCACCAGTCATAATGGTTGACTGTGTTTTCATGTGGCTCCTGAAAGGACCCCTCATTCCCGAGACCACATCCACTGTCATTTTCGAAATCTCCATGGTCTGAATTTGACAATGAGCCTAGAGAAGCAATGGTTGACCGTCTGCTCAGATTGGGCTCTCCAATCTCCCAGTGGGGGAGCCGAGTGAGGTCATTCTGAGCCAGGTTCAAGTGGTTGAGAGAGGGAGCTGTCCACATGTCAATTGGAACTTTCTTTAGACAGTTCCTGGACACATTTAGGTACTTGAGGGCTGGCAGACGGAAAAGGTAGTTGGGTAGCATCTCCAGGCTGTTGACTTGTAGGTGGAGCTCCTCAATCTGGAGACGTTCCACTGCATGCTCCAAGTCTTTTTCCAGTGGGAACCTTTTGATTCGATTTTCAGAAGCATTCAATACTTGGAGAGAAGGCAACTCAAAAATAATTCTGGGTAGTTCTGCGAAATAGTTATGTGAAATATCAATCTTTGTTATTGCATAGAGTGCTGTTAAATTATTATCGATTGGTCTCATGGCTAAGTTGTGTACAAAACTTGCTCTAATGAGACACTGTTTGTCTATGCTATCCAGCTGCTGCCTGTGCCAGTTCACCGACACGGGGCAGGACGGAAATATTCTCCTGTACTCATCAGGCAAACTTGACCGGTCAGGGTAACTCTTAAAGCTGCTATGGGCCTCGGGCATATGCAAGTTTCATCTCAGTCTTGTTAATGGTGTGGATGTGATCCTTAGACGTCTTGTGCTGCAGCAGCAACTGGATCATTTCCTTGTTGTTCGTCTCCTGCGCTCGCTTCATGGCAATGTTGTCTGTGTCTTCAGCTCCATGTCTCAGCAGCAGCTCAAACACCTCAGGATCACCTCGGTCTAACGCATACGCAAGGTACGACATCGGAGAATCATCCACCATTATCATCGTGCTCAGATCTGTTCCCCCCTTCACCAGCACCTGGGCGATGTCTGGGTGGTGGTTCTTTATAGCATAATGCAGTGACGTCAGTCCTTCATTCGACTTGATGTCTCTGTCAACCGGGAAAATCCTGTACGGGTCTATCTCCTTATCTAGAGAGTGACCTTCTGAGGCAGTGCTGGTCATCCGGGCATAAACAGTCTGAGCAGCAGCCTCCAGAGGTTCCTCATCGTCTTCCAATTTCACGGTGTGGTCCAGGAGGAGTTTCACTGCCTCTAAAGATCCTGTCTCCGTTGAAAGATGAAGTGGCGTCATGCCAGTGGAGTCAATGGGGTTCACGTCGATGCTGGAGTAGTAGTAGCGGCCAGAGCGCTTGTCGACGTATGAGTGGAGAAAGTTATCAGAGTACGGGAATGCCAGGAGATACTCCAGGATGTCTGCACGTCCACACGCGGCCGCCCGGTGGAGGGGCAGCTGATGGTCCACGGTTCGCATTATACACAGCTCAGGGAACTTCTGAAGGGGAAAGCAGATGCTATTAGTACTGATATAGACCAGCTTATATACATCTGGTAGGAAACCTACTCCTTACAAGCTATATTACAGTATTCCATTGACAGAAATACAATACATACATCCCATACAACCCCACTTCATGTAGGATGTTCTGCTTATATGTTTCATAGACATGTATGAATTACAGTTGAACTCTTTGCAGAGTTGTCAAATACATTCAATAAGCAATGAAACTTTTGCATGACATATGATTACAGATGGTTGCCTTAAACATCCCTACATTCATAAGAATGGAGACAACCTCCACGGTCCCCGTCTCACATGCCAGGTGGAGTGGGGTGAGTCCATTCTCTGTGTGGGGGATGGGCTTTGCATCAAGCTCCAGCAAAAGCTGAACCAACTCAAAGCTGCCAGACTTCACAGCACTGAAAATGAGATAAAAGCTTGTTACTCTAAACTCTCTACACTGATTTACACAATATTTCTCTAAAACCCCACCATGAGAGGAAATTATAATAAAACTATCACATAATCACTTCAGTTAATGATATATACTTCTGAAATGATAAGAATCTTACAATAGTCCTGTTACCACCAATGTGTCGGGCCCTACTGTTACCTGGAAAGAGCTGGGAATCTACAACACCATCAATGTGTCGGGCCCTACTGTTACCTGGAAAGAGCTGGGAATCTACAACACCACCAATGTGTTTGGCCCCACTGTTACCTGGAAAGAGCTGGGAATCTACAACACCATCAATGTGTCGGGCCCTACTGTTACCTGGAAAGAGCTGGGAATCTACAACACCACCAATGTGTTTGGCCCCACTGTTACCTGGAAAGAGCTGGGAATCTACAACACCATCAATGTGTCGGGCCCCACTGTTACCTGGAAAGAGCTGGGAATCTACAACACCACCAATGTGTTTGGCCCCACTGTTACCTGGAAAGAGCTGGGAATCTACAACACCACCAATGTGTCTGGCCCCACTGTTACCTGGAAAGAGCTGGGAATCTACAACACCATCAATGTGTTTGGCCCTACTGTTACCTGGAAAGAGCTGGGAATCTACAACACCACCAATGTGTCTGGCCCCACTGTTACCTGGAAAGAGCTGGGAATCTAATCTACAACACCACCAATGTGTTTACCCTGCTGGGAATCTACAACACCACCAATGTACCTGGAAAGGGCTGGGAATCTACAACACCACCAATGTGTCGGGCCCCACTGTTACCTGGAAAGAGCTGGGAATCTACAACACCACCAATGTGTCGGGCCCTACTGTTACCTGGAAAGAGCTGGGAATCTACAACACCACCAATGTGTCGGGCCCTACTGTTACCTGGAAAGAGCTGGGAATCTACAACACCATCAATGTGTTTGGCCCCACTGTTACCTGGAAAGAGCTGGGAATCTACAACACCATCAATGTGTTTGGCCCCACTGTTACCTGGAAAGAGCTGGGAATCTACAACACCATCAATGTGTCGGGCCCTACTGTTACCTGGAAAGAGCTGGGAATCTACAACACCACCAATGTGTTTGGCCCCACTGTTACCTGGAAAGAGCTGGGAATCTACAACACCATCAATGTGTTTGGCCCCACTGTTACCTGGAAAGAGCTGGGAATCTACAACACCACCAATGTGTTTGGCCCCACTGTTACCTGGAAAGAGCTGGGAATCTACAACACCACCAATGTGTCTGGCCCTACTGTTACCTGGAAAGAGCTGGGAATCTACAACACCACCAATGTGTTACCTGGAAAGGCCCCACCACTGTTACCTGGAAAGGGCTGGGAATCTACAACACCACCAATGTGTTTGGCCGTTGTACTGTTACCTGGAAAGGGCTGGGAATCTACAACACCACCAATGTGTCGGGCCCCACTGTTACCTGGAAGGGGCTGGGAATCTACAACACCACCAATGTGTCGGGCTGGGAATCTACTACTGTTACCTGGGAAAGAGCTGGGAATCTACAACACCACCAATGTGTCTGGGAATCTACAACACCACCAATGTGGGGCCCCACTGTTACCTGGAAAGAGCTGGGAATCTACAACACCACCAATGTGTTTGGCCCTACTGTTACCTAGAAAGAGCTGGGAATCTACAACACCACCAATGTGTGGGAATCTACAACACCACCAATGTGTCGGGCCCTACTGTTACCTGGGGCTGGGAATCTACAACACCACCAATGTTACCTGGAAAGAGCTGGGAATCTACAACACCATCAATGTGTCGGGCCCTACTGTTACCTGGAAAGAGCTGGGAATCTACAACACCACCAATGTGTCGGGCCCTACTGTTACCTGGAAAGAGCTGGGAATCTACAACACCACCAATGTGTCGGGCCCTACTGTTACCTAGAAAGAGCTGGGAATCTACAACACCACCAATGTGTCGGGCCCTACTGTTACCTGGAAGGGGCTGGGAATCTACAACACCACCAATGTGTCGGGCCCTACTGTTACCTGGAAAGAGCTGGGAATCTACAACACCATCAATGTGTTTGGCCCTACTGTTACCTGGAAAGGGCTGGGAATCCACCCTTAGGGACACAGCTGAGGATCCTTCGCAGGTCTGACCAGTTGTCTGACAGCAGACCGCGGACCTTTTCCGTCTCACCATTTGCGCATAACTCCGAGAAGGCTGCAGGAGAGGACATAGGGAGTGTGAGAGAGGTAGTTGACATCATGAACAAGGCTTGTGTATTACAGCGTATCATTTAAGGTCAATAATCTTTGCATTGCGTCTTATACAAATATCTTCACCAGTGGTGTTCGAATTCCATCAAAACTATAAAAGCTGACAGTAGAACATTCACAGGGGTATGATGTTTGATGAGTCCAGATAATAATTTATAAGACAAGGAACACATCAATACCTCCAGAAAATAGTCATACCCAATTGCTATCCAGCATATAAAGAAAATATGATTATCCCTAAATGACATTTAATGAAGTTCTAAAAATGTAGATATGTTCCTCACTGAACTCCCACAGTTGTCCACAACTGATTTCTTAACATTGTCATTTACTTGTTATCCTACAACAGTGTTTAAATGATAAAACCCACTATATACACTAGATTGAAAAATATCTAGAAACCACAATTTAGTGATAATTCATGAATGACCTTTGCAGCGACCTTGATCTTACATTTACAGTAAACTATGTTAATAATGAACACACTTTTCATGAAGTGATGGCTATAGAAAATTATGTTTTGGGGTTCCAGCCTCTTGTCATATATTTCAGTTGAAATGCTTGTTGATATACCGTAATAAACTAAAATTGTGGTCCCTTTGAGTTTAGTGAACAGTAATTACTTATAAAATTTTGGCCATAACGTTTTGCTGCCTGTGACCTTGAGGGTGATCTTAACATGCCATGACTAATCAATACATCAAGTATATACAGCATGATATGATATGACCTATGATACAAAATTATATGCTAAGATTATATCATATGGTATTGTTTACATAAACAACAGCAGCGATTATAACAGTCCATTTGTAACATATATTATCTCCATGCAATGTCAAATGCTAAAAGTACACAGTTTGGAAGGCCCAGTGGATGGTGTACAGGTATTAACACATACTCAGAAAGTTGGATACAGGCAGTGTCAGTAAGGAGTGAGTGAGTGAGTGAGTGAGTGAGTGAGTGAGTGAGTGAGTGAGTGAGTGAGTGAGTGAGTGAGTGAGTGAGTGAGTGAGTGAGTGAGTGAGTGAGTGAGTGAGTGAGTGAGTGAGTGAGTGAGTGAGTGAGTGAGTGAGTGAGTGAGTGAGTGAGTGAGTGAGTGAGTGAGTGAGTGAGTGAGTGAGTGAGTGAGTGAGTGAGTGAGTGAGTGGAGGAGGAGTGAGTGAGTGAGTGAGGAGGAGGAGAGGAGGAGTGAGAGTGAGTGAGTGAGCCTGAGTCCACAGTGAGGAGTGGCAGGAGTGAGTGAGGAGTGAGTGAGTGAGTGCCACTTTTAGCAATATTCGGCATGACAAGCCAACGCTTTAACCACTAGAATCCCCCACACCCCTTCCAGTAAGGAGACCCTATCTGGTTTGGGATTATGGGTCAACTTGGCCGCATGTATAAACAGTGTAGGAAAGATGTAGAAAATCTAGCCTGTCCACAGGACTGGCAGGTCAAATTTTTTACCAGTCCTGCCAAAATCTAGCTTGTCCTCCAAATATAAATAAAACACCTTCGGCAGTAAATATTCAAAAAGGTTATAATTATTATATATACATGTATGTGTCATTGGTTTGCTAAAATTGACCCGACATGAGGACGGACTAGATATTTTTTTAACCCGTCCTCCACAAAATTCATCCGTCTCGGACGTTGGGACGGGCTATCTTTCCTACACTGGTATAAACCAGGAAGTAAAGAACAATGATGTCCTTGAGATAAGCATGCAATGCATGTTTCAAACACAAAGCTTGTTAGTATCAGTGAAAGTCAGTCAGTCAGTGCTACGACTGACTGAATCCTGGTCTATGTAGTCAAGTTTCAAGTATTAGTGTCCCCAAGAGTTCTACTTATGAATTCTGTCTGAATAATAGCACACAGGACACAACAGAGAAAAGACAAACAAAACTTACTTTTGAATATCTTGTACATTCTAATCTTCCTGCGCTCTGAAACACAAGACAAGCAGAGATAAATGCAGAGCTGACAGCATATTCTATATGTGGAAGAGAGTTATTTCTGTAATAATAAACTTCCATTGTATATAGTATAATCACAATTTCTAGATAACATGACTATATTGAGTCCAGCCTGTCAATAAACAGTGTAGTGACTACATCACATTGTGTTAAAACTAATATTAGGAATAAGCCCAGTGTAGTGACTACACCACATTGTGTTAAACCCAGTACTGGGAAAAAGCCCAGTGTAGTGACTACATCACATTGTGTTAAACAGAACTAGGAATAAGCCCAGTGTAGTGACTACATCACATTGTGTTAAACCCAGAACTAGGAATAAGCCCAGTGTAGTGACTACATCACATTGTGTTAAACCCAGAACTAGGAATAAGCCCAGTGTAGTGACTACACCACATTGTGTTAAACCCAGTACAGGGAATAAGCCCAGTGTAGTGACTACACCACATTGTGTTAAACCCAGAACTAGGAATAAGCCCAGTGTAGTGACTACATCACATTGTGTTAAACCCAGTACTGGGAATAAGCCCAGTGTAGTGACTACACCACATTGTGTTAAACCCAGTACTGGGAAAAAGCCCAGTGTAGTGACTACATCACATTGTGTTAAACCCAGAACTAGGAATAAGCCCAGTGCTGTGACTACATCACATTGTGTTAAACCCAGTACTGGGAATAAGCCCAGTGTAGTGACTACACCACATTGTGTTAAACCCAGTATTGGGAATAAGCACAGTGTAGTGACTACATCACATTGTGTTAAACCCAGAACTAGGAATAAGCCCGTGTAGTGACTACATCACATTGTGTTAAACCCAGTATTGGGAATAAGACCAGTGTAGTGACTACATTACATTGTGTTAAACCCAGAACTAGGAATAAGCACAGTGTAGTTACTACATCACATTGTGTTAAACCCAGAACTAGGAATAAGCACAGTGTAGTGACTACACCACATTGTGTTAAACCCAGAACTAGAACCCGTGTAGTGTTAATAAATAAGCACAGTGTAGTGACTACATTACATTGTGTTAAACCCAGAACTAGGAATAAGCACAGTGTAGTGACTACATCACATAGTGTTAAACCCAGAACTGGGAATAAGACCAGTGCAGTGACTACATCCCATTGTGTTAAACCCAGAACTAGAAATATGCCCAGTGTAGTGACTACATCACATTGTGTTAAACCCAGAACTAGGAATAAGCCCAGTGTAGTGACTACATGACATTGTGTTAAACCCAGAACTAGGAATAAGCCCAGTATATTGACTACATTACATTGTGTTAAACCCAGTACTGGGAACAAGACCAATGCAGTGACTACATCCCATTGTGTTAAACCCAGAACTAGGAATAAGCCCAGTGTAGTGACTACATAACATTGTGTTAAACCCAGATCTAGGAATAAGCCCAGTGTAGTGACTACACCACATTGTGTTAAACCCAGAACTAGGAATAAGCCCGTGTAGTGACTACACCACATTGTGTTAAATCCAGTACAGGGAATAAGCCCAGTGTAGTGACTACATTACATTGTGTTAAACCCAGAACTAGGAATAAGCACAGTGTAGTGACTACATCACATTGTGTTAAACCCAGAACTAGGAATAAGCACAGTGTAGTGACTACATCACATTGTGTTAAACCCAGAACTAGGAATAAGCCCGTGTAGTGACTACACCACATTGTGTTAAATCCAGTACAGGGAATAAGCCCAGTGTAGTGACTACATTACATTGTGTTAAACCCAGAACTAGGAATAAGCAGAGTGTAGTGACTACATAACATTGTGTTAAACCCAGATCTAGGAATAAGCCCAGTGTAGTGACTACACCACATTGTGTTAAACCCAGAACTAGGAATAAGCTCAGTGTAGTGACTACACCACATTGTGTTAAACCAAGAACTAGGAATAAGCCCAGTGTAGTGACTACATTACATTGTGTTAAACCCAGTACTGGGAACAAGACCAGTGCAGTGACTACATCCCATTGTGTTAAACCCAGAACTAGGAATAAGCCCAGTGTAGTGACTACATAACATTGTGTTAAACCCAGAACTAGGAATAAGCCCAGTGTAGTGACTACACCACATTGTGTTAAACCCAGAACTAGGAATAAGCTCAGTGTAGTGACTACACCACATTGTGTTAAACCAAGAACTAGGAATAAGCCCAGTGTAGTGACAACACCACATTGTGTTAAACCCAGAACTAGGAATAATCCCAGTATAGTGACTACATCACATTGTGTTAAACCCAGAACTAGGAATAAGCCCAGTGTTACTGACTACAGCACACTGCATGACATCTTGTATTGGGAATAAGCCCTTTTGTTGGTGACTATAGGTCATTTTGTAATTTCCTGTATTGGGAATAAGCCCAGAGTTACCGATTACTGCACATTATATGACACCCTATATTGGGAATAAGAACTTTTGTTGGTGACTAAAGGACATTTTGTGATGTCCTGTACTGGGAATATGACCTATGTTACTGATGACAGAACAATGCAGGACACCCATTATAAAGAATAAGCTCTGTTACTGACTCCAGAATATTTTGTTACACCCTGTGCTTGGAATAAACCAACTGCCAGAAACTATAGCACATCCTGTCACAGTCTGTATTGGGATGTGCCCAATGATAGTGATTACACTACACACTCTGTATTGGGATGTGTCCAATGATAGTGATTACACTACACACACTGTATTGGGATGTGCCCAATGATAGTGATTACACTACAGTCTGTATCGGGATGTGCCCAATGATAGTGGTGACACTAAACACACTGTATTGGGATGTGCCCAAAGATGGTGATTACACTACACAGCCTGTATTGGGAATAAGCCTGTGTTATGACACAGTTTGTCTTTCCGAGCAGCTTAGCCAGCGCTATAAATAGTGTGAAGTGTGTCGTCATGCATGGTTTTCCTGGAGCACAGTAAGCTAAGTATTTATATCCCTGAACATGCTGTCATGTGAGTCACCATCAGGCATGGTACAGGCTGGTGTATACAGGGAGAGCATGGCACAGGCTGGTGTATACGGGGAGAGCATGGTACAGGCTGGTGTATACGGGGAGACACCAGGCCAAACAAACAGATTTAGTTGGTTGTTCATCAGTAGGCCAGTATTAGTTAATCAGTAAGCTAGTATTAGTTAATCCGGAGGCCAGTATTAGGGAATCAGTAGGTCAGTATTAGTGAATCAGTAGGTCAGTATTAGTTAATCAGTAAGCCAGTATTAATTAATCCGGAGGCCAGTATTAGGGAATCAGTAGGCCAGTATTAGGGAATCAGTAGGTCAGTATTAGTTAATCAGTAAGCCAGTATTAATTAATCCGGAGGCCAGTATTAGGGAATCAGTAGGCCAGTATTAGGGAATCAGTAGGTCAGTATTAGTTAATCAGTAAGCCAGTATTAATTAATCCGGAGGCCAGTATTAGGGAATCAGTAGGCCAGTATTAGGGAATCAGTAGGTCAGTATTAGTTAATCAGTAAGCCAGTATTAATTAATCCGGAGGCCAGTATTAGGGAATCAGTAGGCCAGTATTAGGGAATCAGTAGGTCAGTATTAGTTAATCAGTAAGCTAGTATTAATTAATCCGGAGGCCAGTATTAGGGAATCAGTAGGCCAGTATTAGGGAATCAGTAGGTCAGTATTAGTTAATCAGTAAGCCAGTATTAATTAATCTTTATGCCAGGATTAGTTAATCATTATGCCAGGATTAGTTACTCAGTAGGCCAGTATAGGTTACTCAGTATTAATGAATCAGTAGGCTAGTATTAGTTAATCAGTAGGCCAGTATTAGTGAATCAGTAGGCCAGTATTAGGGAATCAGTAGGTCAGTATTAGTTAATCAGTAAGCCAGTATTAATTAATCTTTATGACAGGATTAGTTAATCATTATGCCAGGATTAGTTACTCAGTAGGCCAGTATAGGTTACTCAGTATTAATGAATCAGTAGGCTAGTATTAGTTAATCAGTAGGCCAGTATTAGTGAATCAGTAGGCCAGTATTAGTGAATCAGTAGGCCAGTATTGGTGAATCAGTAGGAAAGTATTGGTTAACCATTATGCCAGCATTAGATAATCATTATGCCAGTGTTAGGTAATTAGTAGGTCAATATTGGTTAATCAATAGGAATGTATTAGTGAATCAGTAGGCCAGTATTAGTTAATCAGTAGGCCAGTATTAGTTAATCAGTAGGAAAGTATTGGTGAATCAGTAGGAAAGTATTGGTTAATCATTATGCCAGCATTAGTTAGTATGATAATAAGTACTATAATAACGTGTGCTTATGTGTTTGCCTCCATACACCATGGGCAAGCTCAAAGTGTTTAGTTGAAAAAAATATATCAGTTACTATGGAAACATGAAGTGGTATGGAGCCCAGGGCCCGAGAACAGTTCCTGTACTTACATGTGTGCCTCACGCAGATCACATGTTTTACTGGACAGATATGCTTTGAGTTGTGATATAAAAGATTTGAAAGTTTCAGAAAGTTGGACATGAATAGGAAGATTATTCCACAGACAAAGGCCTGCTGTTCTGAACACAGGCTTTGAGTTGATATTGTGGAACAGACAGTCGGTGTCTTTATTCTGACAGAGATGATCTTTGTGGCTCATCAATCAGTATGTCAGGATAAAGGTTATAAATAACACACAAACACAGATGTTAAATCGGAAAACTTGTGACATGGCAAATCTGATCAATGTCACATTTGTCCAACAAGATGTTTGCATCAGAGACAAGAGATCCATTCTGCAAACAGTGTGTTAATCACATTCCACAATACTACTGTTTGAGAAACTACTTCCTTATGGTATTATGATTCACCATCACATGACCTGGGCAGGACATGTCAGTACATAAGAGTTAGGTCCACTAATAAAGGTCATAATACACAGAGATCCTGAGAGGAGTTCTACTGAAGTTCCTCTAAAGTATATATTATGAG